GTGCTACTTTCCTCCTTCCTCCAGAAAGGTGCTTCAGACAGTGGAGAGCATTGAGTTCTGCTTACACTCCAGTGTGTTGCCAAGGAACTGCTCCTTTTCTCTTTCTTTAGCGTGTGTCTCTTAAGAAAGTTCTTGCTCCTCTGCTCCATCCACTGCGTTCATGTCCCAGGCAACAGGGTCACTGCAGGGGTCAGGGTCCCAGGGCCTGCCCTCCAGTGTGATCAGTCTCTTCTAAACACTCTCATAGCCCCAGATAAGGAGTTCTGATTTTGTCCTACCAGACACCTTAACCTGCAGAGCAGAACAAGGGATAAAATTGCCACTTGGAGTTAATGTAACAGCTTGATTCCCATGAAAGGATAGGAAAGTATTCACATAATGGACAGCTGCTAGTTTCCCAAAATTTAGATCCTTTATATTGAAAAGTTCCAGTATGTTTTAACTCCTCTTTCCTTCCCTGGAAATAGCCACTAATATGCATCTGGTTTATGATTGTATATTAATAATATACTTTTTGGCCCATAAACAATATGTGTTGCTTTAAATTGTTAGAGTTAAATGGAGCAAGCTGTACTGTACTGAAAGACCAGTACTTCTCATTCATTGTATTCATATTGACACATACAGTTCTGCTTGATTTTATCTGCTGTATAGTATTCTATTATGTGTATCATTTAGTCATTTTTCTTTTTAAAGAAAATAGTTGTGTGTGTACACCAGCCCCCCTGTCTGTCTGTCTGTCTACCTTTGGAGACCAGAAAGAGGAGGTACAGATCTTCTGGAGCTGGAGTTGCAGGTGGTTGTGAGTTGGAACCAAACTAAAATCTTCTGGAAGAGCAAGCAGCACGCACTCTTAACTGCTGAGCCATCTCCAGCCGCTCCATTTTCTTGATGTCCTTCAGGTTGCCACTCTTTCTTGGACATTATAGACAATACTGCAGTTCTGTCTTTTTACTGGTGTGTCATTTTCTTCAGATTCTGAACCTGGTCATTGGGTTATGAAACGATATGGTGGTGCTTTCTTTACTTCACTAAGTATTGCCAGTGCCTTTCTTCAGCTGTCATCCTTATCTCCTCCTCCCCTTTCATTGGTCATCTTCCTCTTCCTCAGTTGGTGCTAGAGATGAGTACGCACCATAGAGCTACGTTTCCTCCTCTGGCTGCTTGCTTTGATTTGGAGAAGTTTTTAATGCATTCTAATACTAAAGCCCATGTTTTGTGAAATTTTCTCCCAGTCTTTGATTAATCTTTTGACTGCATACGATGTCTTTGGTTGAATAAAAAGTAGTTTTTATGTAGAAGGAAGTATTCACTTTTTTGTGCCTTGTCCCCCTTTCAAAGGTTGGTGTTTCTGCAGTCTCTTCCTGCATCTGGAGATGTAACCGCTCATGGCAGACTAGTCTGGTGTGACTGCCCTTCAGTGCTCACATGCCCACTGTCCTTTCACTAACAGGGTCTTGTGGGGTCCTACACTCTGGATTTGTGCCTCACGAAGGCCTCATGCCATGCACCGCCACCTCGTTAAACACGGGGAATTGAGCTCAGGACCTCTGAAGAGCAGCCATTGCTCTTCCTCCAGCCCCCTCATTTTATGCTTTCTATAATGTCAGGGTTTGTGTGAATTTTTTTAAATCCCATTCCTAATTTTTTTAATTGGTATTCTTTTCCCTTTTCAGCTTTGTGCTTTTGTTTGTTTTGTTCCTTCTTTTCATGTTTGTAAGTCTATTTGTTGAATACTCCCTCTAATTATGAACCACACTCTACTTCTAACCACAGAGCATTGAGCTGCATGGCAGAGTTCAGAATAGTAAATTTTAACATAGAAACAAATCACTAAGAAAGTATAGAGGAATCCTGGCAGATGTCCATGCATACTGCTCCCTACCTCTTAGCTTTGATGTTTTAACAATCTTTTTTACTTGTTTTCAGTGTGATACTTGAATATAAGCCCAACATTAGTTAAAAATCTGCACTAGGTATAAACACGAAGATCTTAAAATTTGATTTTCTTTATTTTCAGTTATTCTTCCTTCTCATATTTTCATTCTTGTATTAGTTACTGAGCTGCTGCTTCTTTCTTGTTTCAGGAACTGCCAGATGCTATAGTAGTAGTATTAGACAGATACAGACCTAACATTTATGTAGCTCGTATGACAATAAGCTGAGTAACTATGCTGGATGACAGAAATAGGTAGTTGGTGCTGCAGTGGAAAGGAGAGCATTAGAAAAGATACGCAGTAACCTTGGGGACGAATGCTTTTGACAAGTGTTTGCTCTCATGACACATTGAATGACAGTTTAGAAATGTTCAGGATACAGGTATGAAAAACACAGTTCCCATGCTTGCAAAGCTTGTACTCTGACCACAGCCCAAGGGAGTTAAAGAGATGGGATCAGTTAGCACATGCTGACTAAAGTTGTACTACTGATGAGTTTTCCAAGGAAGGTATGGTATATGATGTCTCTTTCCCTGAGAATGTCTCCTCAGCTGAGACAGGGGAGTCAAGGGTGAGCAGTGAAGACGACCAGTGACTGGAAACCAAGCCATTTTGAATTTTTACCCTGACTGTTCTAAACATAATTAAAGATGGCTGAAACACCAAGTACAATGTGGCTGAAAAAGAGACTGGTGATGTTGGTAGGATATTAGAGTAGTGATTTCACCAAGAAGCCATTTCACTGACATGAAGCCACACCAGAGCATAAAGCCCACTTGCACAGAAGAGAATAGAGAACTGAAAATGATAATTTGAGGGAAGGAGGGCATAATTATGGAGTTTTGCTAAGATTGGTAGGTTGGCAAAAATACAGAGGAAACCCTTCAAAACTTTGAGAATTCTGTGACTAGAAAATAGTGTTGACCCCTGGTCTGGGGAAGTTCCTATTGGATTCTTTGCTTCCCAGAAACTGTTCCCCAGGATGGTACCATTAGATGCTGTTTGCTGGTGTCTGAAGTTTTAGACTAGGGGAAACCTAACACACACTCTTCTTTAGCGTTTAGGCATTGGTGTTGAAGTGAGATAAGTGATAGGAGCTAATGACTTACTTACCCTGGGTACTGTTTTCCAGATGCATTAGAATGTAGCCAAGAATTCCTGGTCTCCGTGTACCTTTGAACTATGAGCTCCTAATTCTGTTTGCTGCTGACAGACATTCGTGCATTTTCCTGCTTCTGTTTTGGTTTTTTTTCCTGTCATAAAACAAACTGGTATTTCTCCTCACCAGTTTTTTTCTTACTTGTAATCTGTATTTTCTCATACTTTTGGAACCTTTTGCAAAGCTGTAAAATCACTGTAAATTATGATGTGCTCCACCATCCTACCATGTCTAAAGATGAGGTTTTTAGGGCAGGACCTGTTAATCTATTTTGTGTTCCTACCACAGAATTCTTGAAAATGAATAAAAAATAAAAGCAATGTATTGTCTTAGTTTTGGAGGCTAAGAAGTCCGTATTAAAGGAGTCAGTATCTGATGAGGACTTTCTTGCTGTGTTACAACACGGCAGAGGGGCATCACATGGCAGAAAGCCAGAATGCAAGGCAGGCGTGTGAATCCCTGTGAGTTTGAGGCCAGCCTGGTCTGCATGGTGAATTCCAGGCTAGTCAAGTCTACACAGTGAGACCCTATCTCAAAAAAAAAAAAAAGTCAGTGTGTTTTTCTGATGAGGTCTGTAATCCCATCGTGGGAGTTCCCACTGCCGTGGCCTCATTTAGCCTTGTTCCTAATATGCAAACTTTGGGTGGAACGCATTCATACTATACCAGAGACTGAACTTTTTCATGTTTTAGTTTTCTCTATTAGCATAGTATCTTGTATATAATTGGCAGAGTTTAATATACTGGGGATATGTGATCTTCAGTCGATTGGCCAAAGCTATATGCTACATAACAGGATTTCCCACAAAGGTGGACCACATATACAATAATGTATACCATAGAACCTAGATTTGTAGTAGGCTTTGCTGCTAGGTGTATGTCAGTAACACTTTTATCTTCATGCAGTAATAAAATTACCTCACGGCATGTTTCCCAGAACACACCCTTGTTAAATGACACATGACTATAATACCATTTCTAAAATGGGTATGTCACACCAGGCTCTAGTTTGTAGTCGTTAAACTTAGACGTTGAAATTCTGATGCAAGACAGGTCCTCTACTGCTTACACTTTCATTTTTTTCTTCACAGGATACATTCTGATCTGAATCAATAAGTAACTTGAAGGGTGTTATTAGGAGACTTTTGATTTGGAGCAAAACGCCTTATCACTGAGAGTTTTGTCATCTCACAGAGAGGTTCATACATAGGGAGATTTCCAAGTTGATCTGGCTTCCTGATAGTATCAAGATCCTAATGCTTCCCACAGTTTCCCTTTCCATTCTCAGCACAATACAGTCTTTCCTTAGGGCTTCAGTGGCACAGAACTTGAAGTATGTGCTGATTCAAAGAGATCTAAAGGTAGAAAGATACCATTTCTCCTTTATCATCTTTTTCCCCAGATGCTGTCTAACAGATTTCCCTACGTGTCCCTTTGATCATGATTTAGTTTTGTGCTTTGGCAAGATAAATACAGTGGCTGTGCCTGGTGTGGTCCAGTCAAGAATAGGTGGCCTAGTAGAGAGTTATCACTAGAATTCCATTGGAGTCTAATGTGGTGAAAATTCTGGGTGGGAAATAAGAAGTAAACAGTATCCACTGAAGATGCTATCTACCTGTCTTTGACTTGCTCACTTGAGAAAGTGTGCCATCATCTTTTTCTAAGTGGAGAAAAAATAATTTGTTCTATTTCCACTGAGTTTGCTGTTGGTTCTCAGTAACACACTCATTCTTTTAATAGACATTAACTGGACTGCCTCCAGGTGCTTTAGCTTTGGAGAAATAGCTGAATAATTAATGGTCCTTGCATTCAAGTGGGTGGCTGGCCTACAGTCTGGTATACAGGATAGAGGAGGAAAGAGTTACTCTGAAATATACTGATTTCAGGACATTTATTTTTCAACAGATGATGTGAAACATGTGGATTTGTGATACGAGTTCATTTGAAAAGTCACTTTGGGGTAAGTTGATAAACTTGGGAATCAATGACTTCAAGGTTGTACTACTTCATGGATTTTAAAACATCCATACGATGTTTCATTTAGACAGAATTTCACTCTGTAGCCCTGGCTAGCCTCAAACTCACAGAGATTCTACTTGCTTCTGCTCTCCCCAAACCGTGATTAAAGGTGTGTACTGCCATGCTCAGCTCTTGAAGGGTTTTATACTAAGTTCTTACTGTAACAAAACTTGAGAAACCTAGCAATCAAGTATAGTCCTGGTACTATTATATTAGTACATTTATACTTATTTCTCATTAGCAGGTCAGTTTGAAGACTAAATGAAGATCAAGTTCATAAAAGAAGTCTTTAGCTAGAACTAAACTTACCTATAATGTTCTTGTGTGATTGGGAAATCATTTACAGTACCAGTGTTGAAGATACTGGAGTAAAGTTTCTCTTTGCCGTACTTCAGATGGTCATTTCATTGCATCTGTGTATATGTAAATGAATTTTGATGGTTTCATCTAAGAAAACACCTTTAGAAATACCATTTACTATTTACTTAGTGTGTGTTATTGCAGTAGAACTGTAAGATGGTGAATTTTTCTTTTAAAGAAACAAAGAGGGCATGTAGGTTTTATTTGCCACAAGTAAAGTAAATTGACCTTGCTAAGACCACATAATGAGTAAGCGTTAGAACTGAAATTGGGGTGCAAACATGTTTTAATGTGTCAGTTGTACTGGGTTCCAAGACTGTTCCCAGATCTTCTGCTTGGCCTGGGACTTCAAATGGCTTCCACACAGTAATACTAACAGCAGTGGTGCATTGCACGGAAGGACACAAGATCTTGAGGAAACCAGGAGTGAGCTTGTCAGCATTCTTTCCGTGAGGGATAGCAGGGTGTGCTTAGTTTCTCCAGCAATTGTGACAGCACATGAAATATTGCCCACCAGGGAAAATCAGAAACTCATGCCCAAGGTTTTTAACCTTGTATCAAGCACATGCCAAAATTCCAGAGTCATAGAAGGAAAAGAAAAATTTTAACATAAACCAGGTTGTTTGTATAGTTAAGGCACAGTCGGGCACACTTGTCATGTAGAGGAAGTTTTATATCATGGTGGAGAACTGTTCATCATTAAAATTCCCTGAGTTGAGGTAAGGACCAACCTTGCATACCATGACTTTCTAAGAATAGCAGTTTCAGGTCTGCTATGTTAACTTAATCTCTATACATTGATTTATTCATTTGAAAAGTAGGTACTATGGCAAACCAGATTTTTACTGACACATCTGTTGCTACTGATTTGCTTCTTGGTTTTTTTTTTTTTTTTTTTTTTGGTTTTTAACGAGACAGGGTTTCTCTGTATTGTTTCGGAGGCTGTCGGTCCAGCCTGGCCTGGAACGCACAAAGATCCGCCTGTCTCTGCCTCCCGAGTGCTGGGATTAAAGGCGTGCACCACCACCGCCCGGCTGCTTCTTGTTTTTGAAAAAAGTTTTGAGACAGAGTTTTTCTGTATAGCCTGGCTCTGTGTAGCCCTCTGCAGAGCAGTCTGGCCCTAGACTCTGCCTGACTGTGCCTACCAAGTGCTGGTTCCTGGCTGCTACTGATTTATTAGGAACCTCTCATGACCTCTTGGCTAAGACAGTAGAAAGACATGCTGGGTGCCCTACTCTTAATTGTAGCACTCAGGTGTGTATAGGAGAAGACCCGTCTTAAAGCTGGGGATGACATAATGGTACAGTGCTTCTTTACCGTGTGCAAGGCTCTGTTGGTCCTCAGCACTGGGCGGGAGGACAGAAAGGACAGTTTTTGCTAGGTGGTATGGTGTCTACTCTTATAGTTTCAGTGCTTAGAACATTGGGACAGGAGGATTGTGACTCCGTGGGCCAACTGTAGTGACAACTTGCCCTTAGAAACAAACCGATGGTTCATGGAGACGCTTACTAGAGAAGCCAGGCTTCCACAGGCTTCCAGGGGTTCTCTCTACGAGAGTGAGTGGTAGAGGCAAGTACAGCGTGTCTCTAGCCAGGGACTCACGGAAGTATCACGGCCCTGAGGTATGGTAGGATGCTGGCTGTGTAGGTACATGTCTGCCATATAGTCTTTTTTAAAAACAGAATTCACAGAAAAACCAGTTTTACATAAAATAAATGACTCATAGCTTTACAATTGCATGATTGGATGACTTGAAACTCAGCTTTTAAAAAAAGATTGATAGCATAATAAATATTAAAATTAGTCAGTGTGCATTTTAATGATGAGATTATTTAAGAAAACATTTTAGATTTTAAAGTGTAATTCCTTTTTTGTCAACTTTTAAAAGTAGATCTTTATGATTTCTTGTATCCATTTTCTCAGAATAATAGAGCTGAACTACTATATTAAATGTCTTTTTGCAGTAAATGGAATATCATTTAAATAATTAAGTAGTAAGTCATAGTGACTACATTCTTTTTTGTCTTATAAAAATAAAACCTACTGCACCATGTACACTCAGTAATAAAACAAGATGCTGTGGGCACCTCCTCTGTTTACATCTAGACATCTTAGCAAGGTAGCTGAATTAAAAGTCAGCAAATAAAAATCAAGTGCATTTCTCAGTTGGGCGTGGTGGAGCGCACCTTTAATATTAACACTTTGGAGGCAGAGGCAGGCAGATCTCTGAGTTTGAAGCTACCCTGGTCTACAGAGCAAGTTCTAGAACAGCCAAGAAGAAACCCTGTCTTAAAAAACAAAAAAGAATAATCAAAGTGCATCTCTATAAACTAGTAACAAAATTATACTATTATGTCAGGTAGAAGAAAATATTTAAAAATATCTAAAGGTGACTTGCAACAAAATAATGAGATTTATTGAACTCTGTTAATACAGAGACCTAAATAAATGGAGAGTTGGGACTTTTATGAATTCAATGAGTCATAAAGATAACAGGTCTCTGATTACTCATAGATTTAATTCAAATTTCATTAGCTTTTGAAATAGAGTTTTAAAGGTCAATCTGAAATTTCTAAGGAAAACCAGTGAGAAACAGTAGCCAAGGCACTCCTGAAAAACTAGGAAGGGTGGGCATGGACGCACGACTTTAATCTTTCCCCTCAGGAGACAGCGGCAGGTGGAGCTCTGTGAATTTAAGGCCAGCCCGGTCTACATAGCAGGTTCCAGGATAGCCAGGACTGCATAGACCCTGTCTCAAAAAAAAACAAGTTGGGTAGTGGCGCACGCCTTTAATCCCAACACTCAGGAGGCAGAGGCAGGCACATCTCTGAGTTGGAGGCCAGCCTAGTCTACAAAGCTAGTTCCAGGACAACCAGGGCTATTACACAGAGAAATAGAGAAAGGTGACCATCATGATGACTTAGTGGGTTAAGGCACTTGCTCCTAAGCCTGACAACCTGAGTTCAACTCCTATCTCTTGCCTGGGGGTCCTCAAAATGACATTTTATTTTCTGAACTTAGAACCTTTACACATGGTAGAAAGAGAAAACTGACTCCAGCAAGTTGTCCTCTGACTTCCATATATCCTCCCACATACATACACAAAATGAAAAAGTAATATTTTTAATAGTAAAAGGTGAGAAGACTTGTAGCAAGAATAAGCTACTTAATATAATTTAGATTGCAGTTTTAGATATGAAGAGACAGGTCAATGGAGCAGAACATGGAGACTTGACTTAGAACACAGTGAGTATTACATGCCTTTAGGAAAAGATGACCTGTTGATTAAATAGGTCTGAGACAATTTATCCTTTTGGGAGACAGTGGCATTGGCCCCCTACTAAACAGGAAAGGCAACATCTTTTAAATCTGACTTAAAAACATTATTAGCAGTGATTTACAAGTAGAAGTATTTCTTAAGACTTGGGAAATTTGAACCATAAAAGATAATCTTTACTAAATATAAGCTGTGAACTAGAAACAAAAGTATATGACAAAGCTTATAACTGACACAACACTATATGAAGAATTTCACACATACACACACACACACACACACACACACACCCTAACCCTAATAGAGTTAATAGGGTATTGGGCCAGATTTTGATAGGTACATGAGAAAAGTCATGGCAGACAGTAGAGTACCAAATACTAAGTTGGGTATGGTGGTACATAAGTGAGGGGTGGAAGCTGGGAATGGGGCAGGAGGATCTGGGGTCGGAGGCTAGCCTGGATTAAATGGTGCTAGCCTATCTCAACAAAGACACAGGTGTGCAGCAACAAAGGATAGTGACCACTCACCAACATTGTCAAAAATAAAAACTCCTCACAAGAGTGTGCTAATGGAATGCCGGGCCATGGTGGTGCACACCTTTAATCCCAGCACTCTGGAGGCAGAGGCAGGTGGATCTCTGAGTTCGAGACCAGCCTGGTATACAGATCGAGTCGAGTTCCAGGACAGGCTCCTAAACCACAGAGAAACCCTGTCTCGAAAAACAAAACAAAACAAACAAACAAAAAGAATGTGCTAATGGTAAATACATCAAACTGATGATTTCTAATCATGATGAAAGTATGTGCATATTCTGACCGGGAATTCTCTGGAGGACCCAGGGAAGAAGAGTTTTCACATTTTTAAATGATTGAAAAAAATAAGAATGATTTGTAATAAGAAATTCAGTTTCAGTGTTTATAAGTAAATGGTTGGAGTATTGTTTATGGATGTGTTCTTCCTACAACACAGTTTGCTAATCACTGCCCGTGTTGAGATATGGTTACCACATAATGCTCAAAATAACAGAAACTTTTGTTAAGTTATGGCGTGCCTGTCTGTCCTGAATGACTAAAAGGACACTTAGCCATTAATAGTAAACTATAACTGGGACAATAGTTTCTGGCAGTCTTGGAATTTTACTTTTCTGTGTTTGAAGAATTCTTTATATTTAGCACATATCTTTTTTGTTTTGTTTTGTTTTTTGTTTTTTGTTTTTACGAGACAGGGTTTCTCTGTATTGTTTTGGAGGCTGTCGGTCCAGCCTGGCCTCGAACTCACAGAGATCCGCCTGCCTCTGCCTCCTGAGTGCTGGGATTAAAGGCGTGCGCCACCACCGCCCAGCCTAGCACATATCATTTTATAAATAGAAATATAAAGTTTTAAAGTATTGTTAAAAACCAAATCAGTTTATCACCTTTAGAAACTGACACACTAGTCACTTATACTCAACATTTCATGCCCCAGATAGAGACATGAACCAGTAGGCTCTGTTGAGAGTTTCAGCCAGTATTCCAAGTTGTGTTTGTTCTCCTGACCTCTAAACTTGGGACAGTAGCTGGGAAAACTACGTCAGTGATCGAAACTGATTTTTGAATTCTGAGTAGTATTTCACTGTATATATGTATAGCCCATATTCACATCCTTAGTTAGAAATCTAAAATGTTCTCAAATCTGGAACATTGAATGCAGATGAAACACTTCAAACATTTTAGATTTGGGAACATTTCAGATTTTGGATTGTGGAGCCTAACTAAGTCTATGTATATAGTGCAAAATCTGAAGAACTGCAAAATCTGAGCAGTTTTTATCCCAAGTATTTTGTATAAAGGATGGTCAAAGATACTAAAACAAAATTGCACACAGGATTTTTTTTTTGTAGACATGTTTTCCTTTCTCCTAAGATGTCTGAATGTGAAAAGACTTTTTTCTTTAAGGTATAAATGAACTGACAGTAGTATATAGTAGAGTAATGGTCATTTGATTTTAAAGAATTGGTCTGAGGATGTAGCTTATTTGGTAAAGGCTTGCCTAGGTACATGAGATCCTGTGTTTGATTCCTGGCTCCACATAAACCCATTATTGTGGTATACACCTATAATCCCAGTCCTGGTAGAGGTAGGAGAAGCAGAAATTTAAGGTCATCCTTGGCTACCTAGGAGTTTTAGGTCCTCTTGATTTACATGAAATCCTGGGTTTTGGTGTGTTTGTTTTTCTCAGTATATTTTTATTTAAATTAGAAACATGCTTGCTTCACATGTTGATCCCAGCTCCCTCTCCCATCCCTCCTCCCTTGTCCCTCCACCAGTCCTCCCAACCCCCACCCAATCCCCAGGGAGGGTGAGACTCTCCATGGGGGATCTCCAGAGTCTGTCACTTCATCTGGGGCAGGGCCTAGGCCCTCTCCCATGTGTCCAGGCTGAGAGAGATTCCCTCCATATGGCATGAGCTCCCAAAGTTCATTCGTACTATTCAAGGCCCCAGAGATTGCCGAGGCCTCCTCACTGACACCACATTCATGGGGGTCTGGATCAGTCCCATGCTGGCCTCTCAGCCATCAGTCTGGGGTCCAAGAGCTCCCCCTTGTCAGGTCCTCTGTCTGTGTGGGTTTCACCAGCATGGTCTTGGCCCCTTGGCTCATCACTCCTCCATCTCTATCACTTGGTTCCAGAAGTTCAGTTCAGTGTTTAGCTGTGGGTATCTGCCCCTGCTTCCATCAGTTACTGGATGAAGGTTTGGCAATGGAATTGTAGGGTGGCACTCCCCAGATCTATGTCTAGAATCCATATATGAGTGAGTACATAATCATGTTTGTCTTCTTGTGACTGGGTTACCTCACTCAGGATGGTTTCTTCTAGTGCCATCATTTGCCTGCAAATTTCAAGAGTCCATTGTTTTTCTCCGCTGAATAGTACTCCATTGTGTAAATGTACCACATTTTCTCTACCCACTCTTCAGTTGAGTTTGCTTCCAGGATCTGGCTATTACAAATAGTACTGCTATGAACATAGTGAAACAGACATCCTTGTTGTATGAATGTGTATCTTTTGGGTATATGCCTAAGAGTAGAATTGTTGGGTCTTGTGGTAGGCTTATTCCCATTTTCCTGAGGAAATCTCCATACTGATTTCCAAAGTGGGTGTACGAGTTGGCACTCCCACTAGCAATGGAGGAGTGTTCCCCTTTCTCCACATCCTCTCCAGCATAAACTGTCCTTGGTGTTTTTGATTTTAGCCATTCTGACAGGAGTGAGATGGTATCACGGAGTTGTTTTCATTTACATTTCCCTGATTGCTAAGGATGTTGAGCAGTTTTAGACTCCTCTATTGAGAATTCCCTACTTAGTGCTGTACCCACTTTTTAATTGGATCCCCTGCATTAGCAGTCAGACTCTGAAAAGGCTCACATATACATTACATGCCTAACTTTTGTGGCGAGAGCCATTGTGTTGTGACACTGTTCTTTTTCCATAGTTATTAGGAACTACTAACTGCACATAACACAATCAAGTGTCTTATTGAATAGACATGATTTTGAGGCAGAAAAAGTCAGCAGTGCCCTTGTTCATTCTTACCTTGGAGTTGAGAATGCTGTTCTGATGAAAGAACATATATAGGAGATCAAAATCTCTGGAGATGTGAGCAGAAATAATGATGCTTTATGCTTACAAGTGTCACTTAGTACCTGAATTTTCAGGTGATTTTCTGGCTGTTGTCTAAGAACCTTGTAAAGAACTACTCCAAGTAGTTCATAGATGAACTCACCCGTCCTGACTGTTGAGATAATCCATCTTCCATGTACACCCTTGTGTGAAGCTGGTATATCACCTGTCAGCCTGCTTCTTCCGAGCATCTGCTTACACAACTTTCAGCAGGGGACACATGTTCAAGGAGTTTCCACTGTGTACGTGGTGGAATACACTTGGTTGCTTCTCTCCTGGTCAGCAGTTGACACGGGCCTTTGAGTCTTGTGTCCCATGCTCAGTGAGTGACATGATTCTTAGGCTGCCCCAGAGCTCTTCAAGATAAGTGTTTACTTGTTCAGAATAACTTTAGTTAAAGCATCCCAGATGATTATTCGGAGTTGTGAATGAGTTCTTCCCATCACTTGATGATGATATGAGTGTCATGGGGTGTAGAAGAGTGGGAAATAGAAACTAAAATGTTAGCAGCATCAGAGCTAAGACTAGGTCTCAGGTCTTAGAATTCCTTCTCTTCCCTGCCATGTGTTCTGTCAATGGTTTCTGGGTGAGTATGGACTGAAGTTTCTATATAGGATTTGGTGGGAGTTAGCCTGAAAAACTGTGTAGTATACAGTAGGGAGAACTGAGAAGTCAGACTGAGGTCATTGCGTGCTGAAGATCTTGTGCTAATTAATAGTTTTTGGCTTTTCCTTAGATTTCAGTAGAGCAGTTGAACAGAAAGGGGGTTAAGACCCGTGTTTTGATGAGACTGAAATAGTAGCTTACTGCTGTCTTAATTTACATATCTAGTTATAGAAAAAGAAGTACATTTTTACACACTTACTGATTAGATTTCTCTTTTGTAAAGGCCTGTTTGCTCATTTTTCTGTTGGATATTGCTTTGTAAGAGATACTTATATAAAAATGGACTTTCTTGTTAATGAAATTAATTCATATCTGTTAATATTTAAGTGTTAAATTAATCATGTAATCTGTGTCCTAGGTATCAAATTTGAGAAAGTCTTTTTCTTCTTTTTCTTTTTATAGGGTGTGACCATGATTTCTGATGAAACCAGATTGGGATAATTTTCATGATATTTGTATATTTATATATGTATATTTTAAAATTTTACATTTGACTTAAAGTGCCATGAGAAAATTTGCATATTGCAAGGTGGTTCTCGCCACCTCGTTGGTTTGGGTACTCTTGGATATGTTCCTGCTGCTTTACTTCAGCGAGTGCAACAGGTGTGATGAGAAGAAGGAGAGGGGACTTCCTGCGGGGGACGGTGAGTGGCCTCAGACACCCGCCTTCTCAAGTGTTGCTTCTTTCTATTGATAAGTTTTAGATTTTAAAAATTTAAATTTATATATAGATTTAAAATTAAAGGTGAATCGTAATTCCTAAGTTCCTATCTTTTAATTTTATTTCTAGCAATGTGGTTAGTTCTTCTGACAGTTGAATGTTAAAATGTCATTGAACTGTTCAGTTTATTTTTTATTTAATATTAAATATAATTAATTTCTACAATCACATTACCAAATGACATAGGGAATCTCATAATCAAAGTTTTCTGTTTTACAAAATTTACTGGTCTAATGCCATTATGCAGAGTGGAGCATTAAAGCTTTGTTAGCAGATATCAGGTCTTCTGCTTGGCTTCTCATTCTCTAGGACCTAATGCTGTGACCCTTGAATACAGTTCTCCGTGTTGTGGTGACCCTCAACTATAAAATTACTTTTGTTGCTACTTCATAACTGTAATTTTGCTACTATTACGATTCATAATATCTGTTTTCCAACAATCGCTGTGAAAGGACCCCTTTGGACCCCACTCTAAAAATTAAAGGGTTGTGACCCACAAGTTGAGAACCTTTGCTTTAGGGACAAAGTCTTTAAAAATACTTGAAACTAGGGAGTTCTTTTGCTTGTATTGTAGATATAGTTGCAGTTTGTACTTTCAAGAATAAGCTATAGAATAGTCTGCAGTGAGATCATTGCAGTATGGGAAGCAAAGAAAACATTAGGTACCTGATAGGTAATGCAGATATTTTGTCAGAGAACATGGAAGATTCAGATTTTGGGGTTCTTGGTTTAGTTTTGTTATTGTTGTTTGTTTTGTTTTAATTTTTTGAGGCAGGGCTTCTCTGTGTAGTTGTCCTAGAACTTTCTGTAGACCAGGCTGGCCTCAAACTCAGGTCACCTGCTTCTCCCTCCCAGGTGCTGTGATTAAAACTGTGTGTGCCGATGTGTCTGGCTTGGAGTTTCACTGTTTATAGAAGTGATTTGTGGCTGTTCTTCCAGCACAAATGTTTTTGACTACTTAATTCTTAATGATCTAAAAGTTATTTGTGTTAGTGCCTACTTAACCATAATTTTTATAGGTGGGTTTTTATAACCAGTTCTGCTTAGTTCCTAGAACAGGATGTTAGTAATACCTAGGTTAGCCCCATCAATGTACTTATAAATTCATGAAATACTAACTTTTATGATTCTGCTGCTTTATATCATTGCTCAGTGATGAAGTCGTGCCTTCCTGACTTAATAGAGCCATGTAGCCTGCTCCTTAAATCAAAGGGGAAATATGTCTCGATGATAAGAAACAGGGTATTCTTTTCCCAAACAGAGGCTTTCTTTGCCTTTCCTTCACCCTGCTGTAGTGCATTGTCAGTTAGAGTGGGAACTGTGCTATTCTGTTTGGAATGCAGAGGCTTAAAGAAGAGAGAATAGAGAATCTGAGCACATGGAAATTCACTTGGAGAATGTACTTAAAGCTCTGATAGGTGCTGGACAAGATGGCTCAGTAAGGTTAAGGGCACACTGGCTGCTCTTGCAGAGGACCGGGGTTCAGATGCTTGCATCCATATAGTGGCTCATAACTATCTGTACCTCCACTTCCAGGGGATTCAATACATAATGTGCAGCAAAGCACTCATGCAAAAGTAAATTCATCTAAAAGGAATTCCTTCCTTCCAGAAACTTGTCAAAGCTGAGCATGGTGTCTGAAGTCTTGGCATTTGTTAGACTGAAAGAGGATCCTGTGCCATGATGAGGATTTTGGCTCATCTGCAGGCAGTGCCATGCCCTCAGAGGATTTCAGACAAGGTGTTAAGTCATCTAACAAGATTGGGACTTTTGAATAAATAGGTGGTTGTGTGACTAGAAGAGAGATGAGGATAGCAAGGACTAGTCGGAGGCTCTCATCAAAGTCTGGAAGAAAGGAAAGTTTAGGTTGACCCTCTGAGTGGCCAGTGCCACTTGTTCAGAATGGGAAAACTGCACAGCCCCCGGAGGCGTGAACAATCTGGGAGGGCCCAGAGGAGACTGCTTGTTGAGGGCACAGTTTTAGCTTGAATATAGTTATGCAAAAGCAAGAGGTAATTGTTAGGAAGTTGATATTAGCTAAGCTTATTTCCTCTTAGTTCCAGAGCCAGTACAGAAGCCTCATGAAGGTCCTGGAGAAATGGGAAAACCAGTCGTCATTCCTAAAGAGGATCAAGAAAAGATGAAAGAGATGTTTAAAATCAATCAGTTCAATTTGATGGCAAGTGAGATGATTGCACTCAACAGATCTTTACCAGATGTGAGGTTGGAGGGGTGAGTACATAGTGTGGTCCTGATCACATTTGAGTAGAAGGTTTGTCTACATTCCCAAGAATTGCTTTGCCTTAGCGCTTGTTTTTCTGTTAGTTGCTGTTTAACTGTATTTGAAGTCTAAGTTAAATGCTGATAAAGTAACATTTCAGGGCGTTATTGCTCTGCTGACTCAGAACCAGGAAAATGATTACTTTTCTCAACAGATTAGTAGGGAATTCTAAACATTTACAAAAGTCTTCATATGTTCAACCTTTTACAAAACGATTTAGTAGTATGTAACTTGAAGCAGTGAAGTGCATAGTCCTACGTGTGTATAGCTTACTGGGTTTTTATGTGTTAAGTACATAGCTGCGTAGCATAGCATCATCCAAAACAAAATATAACCCCTGAAAATTCTCTTTATTTTCCTTTCCAGTTGCTATTCCCACCTCCAGAGACAACTGTCATTCTGTCCCATGTAAACATAGAAGATATACCTTCTCCTTTCTGGAAGACAGATTTTAGACCTCTGCTGCACAACACTGTGCCTGTAGACAGCAATACCAAATTGCATGCATAAAGTTCTTTTAAAAGGAGCTGGAGAGATGTGACTCAGTAGTTAAGAGCTTGTACTGCCCTTCACAGGACCCACATTTGACTCCAAGCACCTATAGTGAGCAACTCACAACCACTTATAATTCCAGCTTCAGGGGGATGTAACTCCCTTTTCTAGCCTCTGAGGTTGCCTGCACCCAAATGCACATTTCACGCAAACACATACACTTACAGACCCCACACTTAGAAAAATAAGTCTTAAGGTATTATAAGCATATTTAAAATTTTAGATCAAGGCCTTTAATCCTAACACTTAGAAGGTAGAAGCAGGCATATTTCTGATATCAGGGCCAGCCTGGTCTACATAGTTCTGGTGATATATAGAAAGACCCTAAAACAAAATAAAAAAATGGAAAATTTAAATATTATCAGTTCCTAAAAAAAGTAATTGTCAGAGAAAAGCAGAAACTGTAAAGTTGTATGATTATTAAATCAGTAGATTATTTAAGGTCTTTATACGTAGACACACATAAACAAATAATAATAAACTTCCATTCATACACAGCCTTGTCTCTTTATGCACATCTAAGGAAGAAACAAAGCCAGTCCTTTATTAGAAAAAGAAGGACCATACCAGTGTGCATCATGAAATAGTGTGATCACAGTGTGGAAATTAGAAAAGGGTGTAATAAGCACAGAGTGTTAGCTCATCTCACTGATAGCATAGATACAGACTTAACAAATGAAAAATTAGTTGAGTCTAGCAATATGTAAATTGTATACATTCAATTTTATATCAAGCTGGTATATTCCAGACATAGGAAGCTAAAGTTGTTAAAATTCATCACAGTAACAGAAAAGGGGTGTGTTGATATGTATTTCATTAAATAGAGAAAATATTTGATAAAATATGTTGCTGTGAAGATATGCCTTAAGAAAAGGAACTTCCTTAATCTGATCTGTAGGGCATCTAAACAGAGCAGCATGAAAACCCCTTAAAGCAAATACCCATGTTGAATAATGATTCTGGAAGGTCAGGGACATGCACGGTGCTCATTGTCACCGCTTCTGCTCAGTGCTACACTGGCGGTCTTGGCCAGGTAAGACAAATACATAAGGGTTTTAAGGATTTGATACTCTCATACACTTTTAGGAAGTAATTTGGTATAACCATCTTGTTGGTACATGTAGAAAGCTTTGTTGCTATGGAGACTTCTTATTATGAAAACTTGGCCTCACCTTAGGCTTGTCCCTCCAGCGCATACAACCTAAACCAGTCCATTTATATTAATCGATGTTTTGCTTCATGGCTTTTTACCTTTTTTCATTCTTTATGTCCACTCCTTCCATGTCTTGGTGTCTGATCCACCTTTGATGATTTCTCTGCCCAGAAGTCCTGCCTATCTCTCCTGTCTAGATATTAGCCATTCAGCTTTTTACACTAATCACAGCAATACGTCCTCACACAGTGTACAGATACTCCCCAACATTTCCCCCTTTTTGGTCTAATTCTAACATAGTAAAACTATACACAGTAAGAACAATTATCAAGTAAGGATTAAATTCACAATGTCCAGTCCATATGTAGTTGGCAAATTTGGAAAAATTATTATCTATTCTATTGTAATGAATCCAATGTTTTATACCTAAACCATTTTTTAATTGTAACTTGTATTATCATCCTAAAAATACCATTTTAGACCTTAAAACAGTTCTTAGAAACAACTTAAGTTTTTATGTCTTTCAACCTTTTTAAACTTTACATCTCTTATGTGAGTTTCTTTTCTGAATTTAATAAAAAGGAAAACTGTAAATTTAACTATATTGTCTTAAACCCCATCAAAGATCTGAGAAGGATAACATATTACCTGAATAAACAGGAAGTGCAGACTAAGCAAATTCCAAAACTATAGAAATGAAATGACAGAAACAACGGACTGTCTCACAGTTGACCAAGGTTCCTCTACAATGTTGGGGTATCCATCTTTGGTCTACAAGCCTAGAATATCTGACAGACTTTTCTGTGAAGCAGGAATTTAGAAGTACTGCCTACCTTACTGTGGCTAAGTTCAGCAGTCACTGCTGTGTGTCCTGCCTGTCCAATATGGACAGCATGTTCTCAGCAGTTGAGGCGAGGGCAGTTCTTTAAGCAGTGCTGCCATGAAAGCAAACTCCATGTGGAGGTTCTTTGATGCCTCTCACCCTTTTATGAAGTAGATTGGTGCTTCCAGAAGCAGACATATCTTAATGTCATGAAAAGCCTTATGCTATTAAAACATTTTAAATGCCATATTCAGTAGGATTCTGAAGTATTTGAGTACCACCTATCTGTCTAAAATATATTTCTCTTTAACTTGAAAACACATAACATGACTACAAGGTGACTATTAGCCTATATTTCTTAATTATTCTGAACAGTGTATAAACAGTAGCTATCAAGGACTGCAACTTTATATTACATTTCTAAATGAGTTGCGTGGGTATAATACCTTAAACAAGAATAGAAACATATATTAAGAAAGTAACCTTAATTTTTGTATCAAGACACAAAAATCCATACCAGTGTAGAATATTTGAGGCTAGTAGTTGATTTTTTTTTTTTTTTTTTTTTTTTTTTGGTTTTTTGAGACAGGGTTTCTCTGTATTGTTTTGGAGCCTGTTCTGGATAGTAGTTGCTTTTTTATTATGTAAGTAGATTCAATAATCTACCCTTTTATCCTATCATTTCTCTGTTGGGGAAGTCCTGTGTATATGTCAATAAAGCACTGCTGACCAATAGGGAATCAAGATAGGTGGGACTAGGAGTCCAGGAGGACTCTGGGAAGGAAAAACACAGAGAGTCAAGATGTAACCGCCATGAGGTAGGAAGCCCGGAAACTTCTCCAGTAAGAGACATACTTAGATTAGCAATTATGGGGTAATTACATAAGTCAGAGCTAGCCAGTAAGAAACAAGCAAGGCTAACAGCTTCATAATTAATATAGCCTCCTGTGTGTTTATTTGGGACTGATGCGGTTCTGGAACCAGGCTGGCAGGAAGGCTTCCCTTTACATTTCTCTATCTACCGTTTTCCTTTTCGGAATGAGATCCCTGAATCTAATCATCTTTGTTTAGTTTTTTCCTATTACCAGTAATAACTGTAACCAATCTCTCATGATTATAAACATCCATAACCCACTGAATGACCAAAAACCATCCACCCCACTTCTTGGGAATGTGGGCATCATGTTCCCTAGACTGCTTCCTGTTGTCTGGGGGCAATGGCATCTTTAAGGGACCCTGAGAAATTTGAGATAATGGTCAAATCTTGGGAAAACTAGCCATAACATTTGTTGTCCAGTCTCAGTATAATGGGAAAGCTAAAGGCTTTTCTGAAGTCCTGGCTAGAATAGTCTGTGAGACTGAACCATCTCAACAAGCAGCCTTGAAGCTGTTGTGCATGCAGAAATCTGGGGAAACTGCAAAAGAGGCACTGTGAGAGGTTGGATCACCTGGGCTACCGGTTTTCGTGGTGTCTGGTCCCCTTTCTCTGAAAACACACAAACTTTCAAAGGTAACATACATATCTGTATTAGCACAAGTATGGAATGTGCGGTGTATGCAAATCAACTAAAGATGATTTTTTGTTTTATGTTTGAGCAGGTCAAATATATGTTACCTGTCTTTTAGATTCATTAGGTTTATTTCTTTATGTCTGTAGCCTGACTTTTCCACGTGCTTCTTATCTTATCTCCCATTATGTCTGTCCTGGTTATTCCACATCTGACTGGTGACTCTGCCTTTCTTCCCAGAGCTCTCTCTGCCCAGACGTCCCACCTATACCTACTGCCTAGGCATTGGTTGTTTATCTTTTACTATCTTTTTATTAAGCCAATCACAGTGACATATCTTTACACAGTGTAAAGGAATATTCCACAACATGTACATGCTAAAATCAGCATTTACATCCTTCATGGTCCAGCAGTTTCATGCCTAGGTATGTTAGAAATGTATATATGTATACAATAGGAGATAAAGACAAAATGTTTTTAGCAATATGTCTCTCTACTGGTTCCAAAATGTAAAATGTCTGAACTTCTCTTAGTAAAGTGGACGGTCTGGCATGTGGTGCTTTCCTTTACTCACAGCACTTGGGAAGCAGAGGCGGAAGAACTCCGGTTAATTCACAAGGCTAGTCTGGTCTACAGAGTGGTTCCAGGCCATTCAGGCTGTACAGTGAGACTGTCTCAAACAGCAATAGCAGCAAATAGTAGATAGAATGGGATACTTTGTAGTAGTAGAAATAAGGAAAGCTACATGTCATTCCAAGGATGAATCTTGACAACATAATAGCAAAATAGTCACATGATTTATATAGACTATTGTTTATGGGACAGTCAAAACAGATCAAGTAAAACTCTTCCAGAACCACCCTAGTTTTTTCTTTAGGGACAAAATGAGATGACAGTAGCAACAGGGCAGTTTGTGAGGATATGTCAGTGTTTTCTTCTCACGTAGTGATAGTTAACATGGTCCTTTACTCTGTACCAGCTCATTCAGCTTGCATTTTTGAGGTATGTTTTGTTTTGTTTCAGTTCTGGGAATTGAGCCCAACAAATGAGTTTTGTGTGCTCTGTATTTGCTATATTTTGTAATATAATCAGTTTGGGAATGAGTGGGATGTGAAGCACTTTATAGCAGTCCATCTGCAGGAGGCAGCTAGAATGAGGGCAGGGAAGATGGGGGTAGTATAAAGTAGTATTTGTGTGTTGATGGAAGTGACCTGAGTTGTTAAAAGCAAAGACTTTGTATATCAGGTAGAAGGTTTATAGACAAGAACAGATCATTTAAACCCTCTAGAGGAAAAACATGATTTTGTAGTCCTAATACTTATGGGATGGTGTGTGTATGTTGGCGGCATTGTGGAAATTCAGTTCTGGTAGCTTTTATTTTGTGAAATTGGAAACAATGTTGCAAATTAGGAAGGGAAAAGTTTTAGAAATCTGAGATGTGAGAGTTTGAAGGTGTTCTCTAGGAAAGTATAATGCTGCTAGAGTGTGGGGAGAACCCACACGAGGGTTGTAGTTAACTTAAAATGAGACCATCCAGCCTGGTTGGGTTTTGTGAGCCACATAGACCACCCAAGCACAGATGCACGACTAAGGCAAAGTTGCATTGAGCTAAGTTTTCATTAAATTTAATTTATCTAGCTTTCTGTTTAATGTCTTTTTCATTTTGTTCCATCCTTTCCTGTTTTGCTAATGGGTACAGTTTGAGCTGATACAGATTTCAGTTTCCAACTATTTTATTGGAGCTGTACATTTTGTTTTTATTCAGTCATTGTAGCCTCTGGGCATTCTATAATGGTCAAGGTATTGGATCTACTTTTACTTACATGCTTGTTCATATCCATGTAATACAGTTTTGATCTGAGCATTCATATTTAATTAAGTGTTGGGCATTTCTCAGGTAGAGCTACTCTACCATTAACTCCAGTTTGGTCTTCTGGACCAACTTGTATATAATACCTTGATAGTGACATAGTCCCAGTTGGCTCTGCCATTTGCTAGCTTGTGGTTACCAGGCTCACCTATGTCCCATAATCCTTATGTAAAACAGGGAGGTTAAGAAGGGTGATTGGGAGGAATTAACCAGTGCTTGATACTTCCCAGTACCTAGGATACAGAGAGCCCTTCTGATCCAAGAATGAGCCCTACGTCCACTGGGGATTCTTGAGAGAACCTGACTTTGAAAGAGGATTTACAGTGAATTGCCAAGTCAGAAATACAGACTAACGTTAGTTCATCCTCATACTGGAGCTGAGCAGCATCTGCTGTTCAGAGCAGATCCCTAAATGGAAAGATAGTGTTCCTAGCCTATGACTTGCTTACCACACTTGTAAATTCAAAAACCCATTGTTTCTAGAGTATAACTTAACTGGTCTGGATCATTTTGTGTCTGCCTGCAATTTTACTGTCTTATGAGCTGCCAAGATCATATTTTTGGAAAGATACTAGAAGAAAAAATGACATTGGTCCAATGTTAAGAATGGTTAAGTATAAGTAGAATCAATGAGTACTTTTTATAATGTGTGATTTTAGGAAAGGAACCCTTAATAAAATCCCAAGTTAGTCAGAGGCCAAATCTATCCAATGTAGTTCACTCTTAAGTAATAATGGTACCATTTATTGAGTGCTAATTGTGTAGCGGTCTGTGTGAATATCATACTCATATAGTTGTCAAAATTAGACCTGGACTAAATGACCTATCTCAAATTTACTTAGGAAGTGACCCAAATGAAGTTGAATTTCTGGTCTCCATGGCTGTGCTACTGCTTGTAAGGCTATTCTCAGTTGCTCCTTCCCTGAGTACATACAGAAGAGACTTATAACAGATAGCCAGGCTTCTTATGAAGTGTTCATTATTATTGGTAAAAACCTAGTAATCGACCATGTTTAGTAGGTTATAAACAGTGCGTGAGAAGCACAGTTCATTTAGAGAGACATGGAGAAGAGAGTTGGAGTATATGTGATATATATATATTTTTTTTTACCTTGACTTGAAAAATCCTCTTTTCTGCCTTCTTTCATGCAGTGCCATAGTATTTGGATGTGGATAATGAGGGGCCAGATTTTGGTCATAAATGTTGGATTTGATATGTGATTATACACTTACCGGCTGTCAATTTGACCAAGCTTCTTCATTTCTCTAATCATAGTTTCCTCATCTGTAAAACTCTTCTAATTTCAGGGTGCTGGGTAAAAGTTAATTAGCAGGACTTTTGCAGACCAGTGCCCTGAGAGTTAGGCTAGAACTGAACTTTAACTATTGAAAAGAAAAGAACCAATCCAGTTGTAGAGAGGGAGGAGTGATGAGCAAAGGGGTCATGCTGGGGAAACCCACAGAAACAGATGAACTGAGCAAGTGGGAGCTCATGGACCCCAGCCTGACAGCTGGGGAACCAGCAGAGGACCAAACCAGGCCCCCTGAATGTGGCTGTCATTTGGGGGTGCTGGGCAGTCTATGGAGCCTCTGGCAGTGGATCCAATATTCATCGCTAGTGCACGAATGGACTTTGAGAGCCAATTCCCTATGGAGGGATACTCTTTTAGTCTAGGCTCTGCCCCACAACGTGACAGACTTTGATGATCTCCCATGGGAGACCTCACCCTCCCTGAGGAGTGGATAGGGGCTGGGATGGAGAGACGGTGAGGTAGTGGGAGGATGGGAGGGAGAGGAACTGGGATTGGTGTGTAAAATAAGAATGGTTTTAATTTAAATGTAAAAAAAGGAAAGAAAAGAACCCTGGGAAACTTCATCTCTTGCTTTCTAAGGGACTGCAGGGCTGGGGGGAGCTGTTTTCCTCCTTTTTCACTGTTCTCTCTACTACCACAGCTTTCAGGCAGTTTTGCATAATCACACAGATGTGGCCACAGTGACTAGACAAAAAAAATCTTGCTCTTGTCTGGTCCCCAGAGCACAGGTAGATTCACACTGCTTTTCTTTCTCTGCCTCCCACCACGGCACGTAACAGTCAGATTCAGAGTGTTAATGCCTATGGGTAGAGAGTGGAATCACTGCACATGTTCATGGGTAGGTAGTGTGCTTCAGGAAAAGTAAAATTAGCACAAACTATAAAGCTGTTCTGTCAAGTTTTCTAGTACAGAGTCATTACTCACTTATAAAGGCATTTGCTTTGTCTCTAGGTGTAAAACAAAGGTGTATCCAGATAACCTTCCTACAACAAGCGTGGTGATCGTTTTCCACAATGAGGCATGGAGCACACTTCTCCGAACAGTCCATAGTGTCATTAACCGCTCACCAAGACACATGATAGAAGAGATTGTTCTTGTAGATGATGCCAGTGAAAGAGGTAAATTTTATATTCTAATGCCAGTGATGTCAGACCTTTGATCACTAACAGTTTGCAAAAATACTGCTATAATTTTAGCCTAATAATTGTATGTAAACTTCCAATTTATCTAAAAATTCTTGGCATTTAAATTCAATCACACAGTGAAAGTTACACTGTTGTAAAACTTAAGTGTTTAATTGTATTGCTTCTTAATCTTATCAGAAAAATAAGTAATGCTCTAAATGCATAGTTGATGTAGACTAGGAAGAAACCCACATAGTTTTATTAGAATTTTCTCTGTGGAAACCTGCAGTTCTGATCATGAATGAAGGAATTTAGTTCTGAGTGTCAGGAAGAACTTTTGCAGCAGAATGGAGTCAGACTGGAGTTCTCTGACTTCTTCCATCTGTAGTTAGTAAGCACAGTTAGAGTGTGGCTTGTAATCTCACCCTATGCTCACAAGTTTCTGTCGCATCTCTTGCTCAGACACCTTTCTGAGAATATCAAGACTTTTCACAGGTTTAGAATATCCTAATCTGTTGCAGGAAACACTCAGGAAAAGGTACACTAGTTAAAGGTAACTTGGACCAGCACTCGGAGACTTGGCACTGCAGAATGCTATGAAACAGACAATACTTGCTAAAAATCAGAAACCCAGTATTGCCCAATTGCTTTATTTTTTTTCCACAGCCTATCTATGTCATAACACTCATTTAGTGTCATATGCTGTACCAGTATTTCTCTGTTCACACAGAAAAGATTTGGAGAGAGTTACAGGTTCTTTTTTTTCTTCATTCCTCTCTGTTTTTTTTTTTTTAATATTTTTAACTTTGTACCTGGGTGGACTTGTGTGCAATGAGCACAAGTGTCCATGGAGGCCAGAAGAAAACATCAGGTCCTCTGGAGCTGCAGTTACAGGCAGTTCTGACTCTCCCAGTGTGGTTTCAGAAACCGAACTTGATCCTCTGGAAGAGCAGCAAGTGCCCTTAAGCCCTGGACCATCTCTCAGGCCCCTCATGCCTTTCTTATTGAACTTTAAAATTCATAGCCCATCCTTTCGACCTCATTGACTGTAAACAGTGTTTTTTCCTGTTCTTTCATTGCATCTGCTGAGATGATTACAGTCAAATGTTACACTCTCTCCTAGCTGTACCCATACTATGTATATTTAAAGGGTAGTTATATCTAGTCATATCATATATTGGTTATTGGGAGTAGTTTGTGTTAACAGTTTAGTTTTAATTATTTTGCCAGTTTATACAGGTTTAAGTAAAAAAATAAGATAGTTCTCAGGTGCCCTTATGTTACCTCCTTAATCTATGAAATAAATAATTCGTACACCCAGAGGACATGTACATGTGTAGTTAGGATATAATGTTCAAGTGAAGGAGAGCTGTTATTAATGAGTAAAGCACACTTACAAAGTAACTGTGGACAGGCCCACTGGGATGGCTGGGGGGGGTAAAGGAGCTTGTGTCCAGCCCCAGGAACCCACCCGGAAGAAGAGCGCTAACTCAGAGTTGTGCTTTGACCTCCATCTTACAGGAAGCACTTGGACTCTTGCTTTCCGTATTCTAGCAGCCCCTTAGTCCTTTACCATGATTTCTGTGAGCTGCTGATGTCTTAGAAGAAAGAGCTAGTCATAGGAATTCTCCAAATCAGTATTCCCTTCCCCAACTTCAGTGTGCACTTCTCTAACTCACATTAGTTAGACAGACATGGCCCCATCACCTTCAGTGTGGTTCACATTTGTCTGGCAAGGACCTTCCTTTGCCTTTCAGTTCCTGTCTAGCATTTCTCTTAGGAGTTTTTCACTTTCTGCTTCCTGTTGAGCACATAGTCAGAGACTATGTTAACAGAAAGATACTTTGCTTCTGCCTTGGAAGAAATACCACAATTTTTAAAGCTATAATAGCTGTGACATGCTGTTTCTTCTCTCTGTTGTGATCTAGATTTAATATTCTTTTGTTTGTTTTGTTTTTTGAGACAGGGTTTCTCTATGTAGTCCTAGCTGTCCTGGAACTCTTTCTGTAGACCAAGATGGCCTTAAACTCAGATCTGCCTACATCTGCCTCTCTATTGCTGGGATTAAAGGCATGTGCCACACTGCCTGGCCTAAATTTAGTATTCTTAAGCTGCTTTTTTTCTGTTTTGTGTATGTGTTGGGGCAGGTGTTAGTGTTTGGATTTTTGACACAGAATCTTAAAACTCCCTTTGTAACCTATAGTGGCCTCAAACTCAATCTTGCTTTCCAAGGCTAGAATTAAAGTGTGTGCTGTCATACCTGGCTAGGCTATTGTGCAGATCCTCCTTCTGCATGATTAGTAAGAGAATTGTGAAGCCTGATAGATGCATGGTGACATGCCTGTCCTGAGTGATGCTTGAGCCATAGGTACTATCTTTGTGTTCTTGTAGCAAAATAGAGACAGCTAGTTCATACTGCCATGAAATTAGAAGGTTTCATTCAGGGAATGGCATTAATGAGGCAAGGAGCCTCACTAGGACTGCTCTGTCAGTGTGTATATGTTGAAGGAATACTGGAAAATCAAAATTGCTTTAAATTTGGTTCATTCTTTTATTCTTTTTTTCATTTCATGCTTTCAGACTTTTTAAAAAGACCTCTAGAGAGCTATGTGAAAAAACTCAAGGTGCCAGTTCATGTAATTCGAATGGAACAACGATCTGGGCTCATCAGAGCTAGATTAAAAGGAGCTGCTGTTTCCAAAGGCCAAGTAATTACCTTCTTGGATGCACACTGTGAGTGTACAGCAGGGTGGCTGGAGCCACTCTTAGCCAGGATCAAACATGACAGGTAATTTTCTGGAACTTGTTTGTTTGGTGTTTTATTTGTGTTTTTATTTATTTGGCTTTTTTGAGACAAGGTTTCTCTGTGTAGCTTTGAAGCCTGTCCTGGAACTAGTTCTTGTAAACTAGGCTGGTATCTAACTCATAGAGATCTGCTGCCTCTGCCTCCCAAGTGTTGGGATTAAAGGCGTGTGCCGCCACCACCTGGCTTACTTAGTATTTTTATCTAACACTGTGTAGCATTGCAAAATTTTGTTTTTAAATCAATACAAAAATACCAAATGCCTTCAAGAGTGCTCCAAGCAAAATACAAACAAGACAGCATTCTTAAAATCTGGCACTTAACAAATTTGCAAACTCTCCTGGCAGAGATGAATTAGACAGCATGTTGTAGAATACTCTGTGCTCTAGGTTGACCAGATAGGATCAGAACAGTACACAGTGATAAACTCCCAGAAAGTTTGCTTGTCCCTGTTTTTAAAGACTGCCTCGGGGGCAGGCAGATTTTCTCGTGTTTGTTGGCATCTTCGTAGGGACTACAGCTCTTGTCTTGTAGCACAAGGCTGAAGAGAGGCACATTGTATCCTGAGAAACTCAGTTGTATATGGAGTAGTCTTGTAATCCTGTTGCTACAGAGCAAGCATTGCTGAGGTGCGTCTGGGGTTTCATCTTTCACATCACTCACTTTTCAAAGAATTGTCTGACTTTCTGTTGGTTCTTACGTATCAGGAAAGAAGTGCCTTCAGTCTGCTTGACCCGTATTAGTTGGGTTCCTGCTTGCCCTAGCAGTTTGACCATAAAGCTGTCCACATCAATTTTGGACTGTATAGAGTAGACTTTCATTAGCCCAGTTGAGAATGGAAGGTGGATCACTTCACTTTTCTCTTTGTTAGAAATGGTAGAAGTACAGCTGTCTTTTCTCAGAGACATAAAACAAACCAGCATTGGACCAAAAGGACATGCAGCAGTTTACAAAAGAGATCATTGCCCTGAAGAATCAAAAGAATACAGTATCTCTCTAAATATAAATAAAAAGTGACTGGTTTAGGAGATATTTGCTTCCATAAAGATAGCACACAAACTTTAGAAACATGATCCTGGACCCATACAAAGAAGATAGTGTGTGTTGTATAGGAAAGAATTGACTAAAACAACAACTAAAATAACTTACAGTTTGGGCTCTGTGGTGGATTATATATCTTCAATAATGTCCAACTGATAATGTTAAGGTGATGGATAAACATAAAAACAGGCTTGGTTTTTTTTTTTTGTTTGTTTGTTTTAATTCACTGAGTTGACACAAAAAGAAAGAAAAGAAGAAAGGTAAATCACAACATGAGAGCAAAAATGGCATCATTCACTGAAGCCAGCTGGTTTTTGTGGTGTCTGTGCTGAATTCTGGGGTACTGTTTGTCCCTTGACAAATGTACAAGTTGAGGATGACAAGTGCAAAGCCTGGTCATGGTGAGGCCATTTTATTTTTAAAGATTTATTTATTTATTATGAATACAACATCCTGCCTCCATGTATGTCTGCAGGCCAGAAGCTGGCACCAGATCTCATTATGGATGGTTGTGAGCCACCATGTGGTTGCTGGGAATTGAACTCAGGACTTCTGGAAAAGCAGTCAGTGCTCTTAACCTCTGAGCTATCTGCCCAGCCCAAAGCTTGCCATTAATATAAAGCAGGGATGCTAAAATTGATAGCCAGTGAGAATGAGAACTGGGTCACATGCAGCAGAGGAACCCTTCATGTGTAGGAGGTGGAGCGTGCTCCCATCAAGATGTTTGAGCACAATATAGAAAAGTAGGAAAGTGAACGATTTTTATGAGGCTAGAATAATTTTAATTTAAAAAAAACAGTAAAGACCTATGATTTAATTTTTTAAAAATTGTGTGTGTGTGCATGCGCGCGTGTGTGAAGCAGGCACCGTTAGCTACTGGGGGGAGCCTGGAGACGATGACGTATGACAGGGACACCAGTGAGGGAAAAAAGTCATGGTACTCATGTAGAGGTTAAGGAATAACTTTCAGAAGTTGATTTTCTCCTTCTAAACTGTGGTGATTAAGTTCCTTTGTTCTCTGAACCTTGTTTTGTTTTTCCAGACAAGATTTCTCTGTGTAACTCTGGCTGTCCTGGAACTCCCTCTGTAGACCAGGGTGGCCTCAAACTCAGAGATCCGCCTGCCTCTGCCTCCCAAGTTCTGAGATTAAAGGCACGCACCACCACTACCTGGTTGGGAAAGACTTCTTTCAACACCAATAGAATGATTATCATACTGGGTGCAGGGTGTGTGTGTGTGTGTGTGTATTGTAACAGGAAAACTTTCTTAGTTGTTTTGTTGTATAGTCGGTATAGTAAAACCATTTGAAAGATTTTAAATCCACTTTTATGATATCAGGAGAACAGTGGTGTGTCCTATCATTGATGTAATCAGCGATGATACTTTCGAGTACATGGCAGGCTCTGACATGACCTATGGTGGATTCAACTGGAAGCTCAATTTTCGTTGGTATCCTGTTCCCCAGAGAGAAATGGACAGAAGGAAAGGTGACCGGACTCTTCCTGTCAGGTAAGTTGTTAGACATTTCCTTTGTAGTGTGTTGCAGAGAGTTAGGATATTTCATCAATTGGGTTAAAGGTGTACCTTGTATATAGTCAAGAACTGTATTTCACGTATATCTATTTTTTTAAAGAGGGATTTTTCCCTCTAGTTAATAAAGTTAGATTTTTTTTTAAATCTGTAAACTCCGGTATACAAGAGAAATGATGAGGTCATGCCTATGTCTTTCTTTCCTGTATGAAAACATTACAAATTTCCAAGTTCAATCTGTGCTTTAATCAGACTGCTCCCCAATTGACTGTGTCATTATGTTAAAGTACTGTCTCAAAATTGTGTCTTGCACTGTAGCGTTTTTTTACTAGTATGTACCATCTGGATGACAGTTACTGACTAGTAAGGTTAGAAAAGCTTGTTTCACACAATTTTTTAAAATTATAGAACTAACAGGGTATAAAGGATGTCCATTAATGTGTATTTGTTTTTCTTTTTTAACTATACGTGAACACATGTGACTTTTTTCCAGGAAGGCATAGAAACCATGCTGGTAAGGACTTGGAGCTGACACTCTGAGCTGCCGAGACCATCCTAGTATTCATCCCAGTTGTGTCCACCTGCAGCTTCCATAGCAATTGAGTTCCAGTTTCTCCTGTTCTAAGCTTCTCTTGTCTGTTTTCCCATGAATTCAAATCCATTTCTGGAGAAGCCAAAGAGATTTGTATTTTTTCACTCAATACCTTCTTTTCCTGAACTAGCCTGAGATCTTAGCAGTACAGAAAAGCTCCTAGTTCATGTTAGTGTGAAATCAAGGACTCTTAGACATTTGAAAACTTTGGCAGTTACAGCTTTCTCTGGAGAGACACTACTGCTGTCCTAGAGAAGCCTAGAAGAGCATGTGTCAGTTCTTTCTGAACTCAGGAGCCTGTGGTATCATTGGACCCAAGAACTTAAGTGCCCCCCTCCCACTCCCTTCATAGAAACCAATGGTTAGCTGAAACCACTGACACCCAGTCATTTAAATCCCCCTTCAGTGTCATCTCTCTGCTTTGTTCTATGCTTACTCCTCCACCCACCTTGTGCATATGTGGACTTGTCTTCTGCAGAAAACACACCCCAGGTGGTTACAATGGTGGTCCCTTTAGAAGGAGTCTGTTGATGGTACTCTGTACTGCATCCCCTCCCTCAAGATTTCCACAGACCTAAGAAAGGCTCTGTTTCCATCCTGTCTTGACCTGACATTTTTGCAGTATTTGCCACCCCATAGAACTTGGCATTTTAACCCTAACCTGAGTCTAGTTGAATAAAATCATCAACTACTTTTATAGTTGCTTGGACTTTGGAATCAAATACCTGGTCAGATGGAGCAGGTTATGAGAAATCATTCAGTGTAAGGAGTTTGAGACAGAAGGTCGGTCGGCACCAAGGTTCAGGAAGGGTGATGAGGACAGGAAGTGTGCTTAGGACAGTGACCCCGAGGACAAAAACGCTGCAGAGGGTAAGAAGCGTTGTCCTATAGTTACAAACAGCTGAAGAACTGCGGTACTCTTTAAACAAACACTGATTATAAACTTTAAATTATTAATATTAATGGCATAGTATTATGATTGAATTTCAGAACACCTACAATGGCCGGCGGCCTTTTTTCAATAGACAGAGATTACTTTCAGGAAATTGGAACATATGATGCTGGCATGGATATTTGGGGAGGAGAAAACCTAGAAATTTCCTTTAGGGTAAGTTTCCTTTGACAAAGAAAAAAAAAATCTTTTACTTAACCACAAATATATATTCATTATTCTTGTTGTCTACATAAGAAATAAAATTTAGTGACTTTAACCTGACTTCAGAACCTTCAGTCTATAAAAAGTTTGATGACACTATGGAAGATTTGTTTAAAAAGACTATTTCAGCAAATAATCCAGTTATCTTTAATAGTTTGGCTATTGAACCTGTATATAAATCTTCAGTTCTCGATTTCTGTTATTTTAAGGAAGTAATTCAAGCTTCAACAACTAAATAGAAACAACTTGTCATTTAAACAGGCTGCTGTGGTACCTCTAACTGTAAAACGTAATTTCAAATTATGTTATTTACTTCTTGTTTAATTGAAATTGTTCTCTTACATTAAATTTGGTTATCAGTTTTATGTTTTTTCAGTAAAAGGTGACAACAGTTAGGGAGATGGCTTAGTCAGTAACAAGCTTGCCCCATATGCATGGAGATGTGAGTTTGATTCCCAGCTCCTACCTAAAAAAAGCTGGGCATGGGTCTGCTGGGATGGTTCAGTGGGTAAAGATGCTTCCTGCACCCTGAGTCTGTCCCCAGGACCAGCATGGTAGGAGGAGAGAGCTGACTCCACAAGCCGTCCTCTGACATACAAATAAAGGTTCAATTTTTATTTTTTTTAAGGCAAGGCATGACAGTGCATACTGTAATCCTAGTGCTGGGGACACAAGGACAGTAGAATCTATAGCTAAATCAATAAGCCCTGATTTCAAGCGAGTGACCCTGTCTCAAAACAGTAAGGTGAAAAAGATTTAGAAAGATACCTCGTGTTATTAACTTCTGGTCATCACACACACATGCCTGCACACATACCACAAAAAGGAAGAGAAAGACAAGCAGTTGTGAAATTACTCCAGTTAGTCCAACCTAGTTGACCTTTCATTTCATAGTCACTAATCAGCATGTTAGATGGTAATGTATGCTGCTAAACAGCCTCTGACATAGCATGTCAGTAGAGGCAAACAGTATTCCGTAAGTGGAAGCAGAGAGCCCCACTGCTCTCGGAGACTCTCCTTGCTTACTTGTAAAAGGAAAGACTTGGCCTTCTGGGATATCCCATCTAGCTCTTAACACTGTATAGCCTGGGAAAACCAGTGTGAAGACATGCTGTTTAACAGCCCTAAAGGTAGACACACTGACTATTAACAAACCAGAAAATTTTCAAAATGAGAGTTTCAGTTGCAATGAGATTTTCCTTTATGACACAAAACTATATTTTGAAACAGTTGCATTGAATTAAGAATATAAACCTATTCTTGATTTTTCTTTTGTTCCATGTGTTTTATTGATTGAACAAATAGATCAGAACATGCTGTGTCTGTCTTGTTGAAAAATCATGGTGAGTGTCTGTTCTGTGTGGTGTGTCAGGAGTGGCACAGGTTTGGAGAGACAGAAACGGAAACGAATTGGGCTAAATACTCCCTGATAATGGATGTGTGCAGTGAGTGTTAAATCATGAGCCACATCAAACATACTAAGTATTCAAAACAAACAGAATGCTACTGAGCATGTCCTGAAGCAGCATGTCCTTGTTGACAAGAGCTGACTGCGGTTCAGCAGTTTGAATTTATGATGCTGTGAGTCATCTGCACTTGACAGTTGCTGATGTATATCTCACTCTTCTGTGTGTAATTTTTAACTTGTCTTTGTATTTTGACTAAATTTGAAAAACACTTGATCCTGGGGACATACTGGCTGTACACCAGAGCAGGATCTCTGAGTCCTGAACTTGGTTTCTTTTTGAGACAGGATCTCACTATGTAACAGTGTCTAGCCTGGAACTCACTCTGTAGACCAGGGCGGTCTTACTTAACTCACTGAGGTCCGTTGCCTCTACCTCCTGAATGCTGGAGTTAAAGGCATAGGTCACCATAGTCAGGCTTGTGTTCTGAATTTTAAACTATATGTCCAATGCAGTTTACTTTGCTCTGTCATTCAGATTTGGTAGTTACTGGTGAATTTTTTTCACCAAAAATGCTATAAATAAAAGCCGACACCCCCCCCCCATTCAATTGAAAAGAAAACACCACACAAATGCTAAGCAACCTTTGGTAGGTAGTTACTAAGCTTCATCCTGCTGTTTTCAGATTTGGCAGTGTGGAGGAACTTTAGAAATTGTCACTTGTTCCCATGTTGGTCATGTGTTTCGGAAAGCTACACCTTACACGTTTCCAGGAGGGACAGGGCAGATTATCAATAAAAATAACAGACGGCTTGCAGAAGTATGGATGGATGAATTCAAGAATTTCTTCTATATAATTTCTCCAGGTTAGTGTATTTTGCATGACCTATACATTGTGCATGGCAGGGGTGCTTGTGCCATAGTCCATGTATGAAGGCCAAATACAACTTGTGGAGTTGATTCTTTTCCTACTATATGGGTCCCAGGGATTGAACTCGGGTCTTTAGGTTTTGGTAGCAAGAATCTTTATTCACTAAGCCACCTCACTGGCCCAAGATGGAATCTTTCTTGTCCCTGATTCTAAGGAGAAGTAAAGAGGGTTGGAAGTAAAGACTTGATAAGGTCATTCATTGTAGGGAGTGGTAAACATCATAGTACAGAAAATGCTTGATAGCGTGCCTGAGATATTATTAGCAGTAATACTAAATATCTTGGTCATTTCTGCTGACTCAGAGTTATGCAGGGGTGTGAGAGAGGGGGGTGGGTGGTTTCTTTTTACCTAACTGTAGCATTTGACATTTATTCCTGTGAGATTCTGTCTTGTTAAATATCAGCTATTTTCCTAGCTGACAAAGCACTCTTTTTGGACATTTGGTTTTTTTATCCAACATAAAAATACTAGTATCTATTTATGGATTTATATATGTATGTAGAGACAGGGCCTCATGTATCCCAGGCTAGCCTCAACCTCACTATGTAGCTGAGGATATCCTTGAACTTCGGATCCTTTCGCCTTCATTTTCCAAGTGCTGTGATTAGGAGTCTGCATGACCATACATGTTTTATGTGATGCTGAGGTACTAAACCCAGAGTTCTGTGTATGCCAGGCAAGCAAGCGCTCATGACTGAGTTACATCCCCTGTCCCATAAAACAGTACCACCTCAGAAGCAGGCTATGAGCACCTCTATAGGCAGGGCTTCGTGAAACCACCTCATGTCACAGAGCCAATGCAGAGCCTGTAATTTTCCTCAGGGCTTCTCTCTAAGAACTTCGCTCTGCGACTCTGGGTTTTGTGTGTCTGTTTCTCCCCAGTGATAAGTCTGTCTGAAATTATTACTATTCTGCCTTGGTTGTTCAGGTACAATACTTCAAGACTCAAGTGGGTATGATCACAGTTCAGTGAATTATGTGAGAAAAATAATTGTATTATTTAATATTTGTACCAAATAGATGTTAATTTTTTTATTTTTGCCTTAATAAATTTTAAAGTTTTTGATCTCTGTATATGTTGTTTAAATTCGTTTGCTTTGAAAACATCAAAACACACTTTAGCGCCTTGTCCTCGTTTTCTACTGGGAGGCAGGTCCATATCATATCATATCTAGGGCCATACTTCACCTAATAATCCCGTTTCCCATTTAGCTGCTTTATGAGAATGAGTGTATAAGTAGTGTGTGTTACCAAACAGAACTCTAATAAATCAGTCATTTATTTCTTTCAACAGGTGTTACAAAGGTGGATTATGGAGATATATCATCAAGACTTGGTCTGAGACATAAATTACAATGCAAACCTTTCTCTTGGTACCTAGAAAATATTTACCCTGATTCTCAAATTCCACGTCACTATTTCTCATTGGGAGAGGTAAAAACAAGTGTGTGTGATATGTGATATATATTCTGTATAGTTATTTTGTCTTTGAGAAGTTAAAACTTCTAACCTCTAAGGCTTTTAAACTGTCTTCACTATTAAAATCTGTTTACCCTCAAGTATGAGAACCCTGTCTGGAGAAGCCAATAGCATATATAGTGTTTTACCTGCATGCATGCTCGAAGGCCAAACAAGGTGCCAGACCTCATTACAGATGGTTGTCAGCCACCATGTGGGTGCTGGGAATTGAACTCAGGACCTACTGATAGAGTCTGCCTCATATAATATGAAATCTTGTTAAATTTTTGTCTCCCCCACACCCACTACTAAGAAGTAGAATTTTCACATACTAAGCAAGTGCTTCATCACGGAGCCACTTCCCGAGCAAAGTCTTAACTATAATTTTATTATATTATGTTCTGTTAAAATGAAGATGCTTGGGGCTGGAGAGATTGCTCATATAACTTATTGCTCTTGCAGACGACGGGGGTTTGGGTCACAGTACCCACATGATAATTCAGAACCATCTGTATGTCACTTCAATTAGAGGAGATCCAATGCCCTTTTCTGACCCTTGAAGGTACCAGCCATACATACGGTACACATACATACATGCAGGTAAAACACCCAGCACATACACATAAATCAAAATAGATTTTTAAAAAATACTTTTTAACAAGAAGACTCTTGTTACAATGTAAAAAGTGTCTTTGTGGACTTATTTTTAGCATGCTAAGCCATTTACTTGAAACTTGTACTTCTAAAGTTGATATCGTTGTTTTAGTTCAAATCAAAGCCTGAGAATTGTCAGAGTTTATTTTCCTTTGGGAAGTTTTCATAGTTTAGACAGGGAATAAGAGAAATGCTGAAAAATATTTGTTTGTGGTGACTCTCTTAAATTGCTTCACAGAATTCAGCATTATTTTTCTTGAAATAATTGGCTATTAATGTTTATAAATAAGACAGAATTGCATATTAGTTGTACTTTTTATCTCAGTGCATGCCTATGCTAATAGATCTAGTGTGAAAAAGATCTTGCCTTCTGTTATATAGTAACTTTGACAGTAAACAATTTCCTGTATCCTGTTTAATTGAATGCCAGTTAGCTATCAGCTCTGACTCCTGGCCAGACATCAGTTCTATATTTAAGAAATCAGATCAGAGTTGGGCATGGTGACACATGCCTTTAATCTGAGGACTGGGAGACAGAGGCAGATAGATCCTGTAAATCTGAGCTACATAATAGAGAGACCCTGTCTCCCCTCCGTCCCCCCTCAAAAAAATTTAGATTAGTCTTTCTTAGACTAGATGTCTGGTCTTTTTCCATTGTTGTTACTTGAAAGTTCAGCCTGTAAGCAAGAGTTCTCCTGAAGCACGAGTAATTCCTTCTCTTGGAAGAAAACCAACCATCTCCATGTAGCTTTAGTAACTCTTTCCTCAAAGGAGCCATTTCTTTTTATTCATATTTGCTCTCATCTATTGACTTCTTCTTAGTGGTTGTCATGTCTGTTTCCATGGCCACCCTAGAGGCTCTTGTTACGTCATTGTACTAGTACTTACTGAGCACTTGAAATTGACTACCCTCCCTGAGTTTTCAAATGGAAGTATTGGGCTACTCCTGCATTAGAGTAGAATACCCTAGCCTATGAAACCGTAAAGATTTGAGGGATCTTTTCCTAGTAATCTTCTAACTCTCCTAAGGTCCTATTTGTTAGCTCAAGGCAGTAATTTTCAACAGCCTAGTATAGATTTAGCATCAGTTTAGCCAATTATAATAATAATCTAGGAATAAATATATGAAAGTATGTTAAAGGAATCTGTTTTTAACTGGACTGTGACATAAAAGAAATTTTTTATTGTCAGTTAGGAGTTTCAAAATTACTGTCTTCAAGTTTCTCCTTTGATAGCATTATATTTACAAGACTTATGATCGAATGTTTTCTGGTTATTTGCCCTCCTTTATTGCCTATCTTTCTGTATCTGACCAGGCTACTCAGGAGTTTTATCATGTCACAGTACAGACAGTCATTCCTTCCCTTCCTCCTCCTACTAAAACTTCTTTGATGGAATTTGGATCAGTTTTTTTGGAAATCAAAATACCTTACATGGCATAGGCCCCCTTACATGGCAACCTTGTTGGGAATCTGTATCCATTTCAGAGAGGACAGAGAGAAGGAAGGTTCTTTCAGGAGTATAGGCATATTGACTGTCTCTGCCAGGGATAGGACACAGCGTAAATCTAGCCTGTTTCCATGCCTGAGTTTTCTTACTACCTTGGGTCACTTTTATACAGTAATGCTTGGGCTGAGTAGTTGTCCTAGAGACGGGGTGGCTCACAAACTGGAAACGGGTGGGGAGGTGGGAGGGTATGCACTGAGGAGCAGTGCATTGTGGAGTCCTTATCCTCAGCTGTTGTTCCAGCAATCTTTGATTGCTTGAGCCTTTACTGAAGCATTTGCCTCAGTTGGTAACATATGACTTGTTTTACTTCCGCGTTTTTACTTGTTAATGTAAATAACTATGCTTTTACCCTCTTCTCCTCTTAGTTAGGGTTTCTATTGCTGTGAAGAGATACCATGACCGTGGCAACTCTTAAAAAGAAAACATTTAATTGTGGTGGCTTTCAGCTCAGCGGTTTAGTCCGTTGTTGTCATACTGGAGAACAAAGCAGCATGCAGGCAGACATGGTGCTAGAGAGGGGGCTGAGGGTTCTTACATCTTGACTCACAGCAATAGAAAGTTGTTTGAGACGCTAGGTGATATCTTGAGCATATATGAGACCTCTGAGACCATCACCACAGTGACACACTTCCCCTAACAAGACCACACCTCCTTATAGTGCTACTCCCTTGGGGGGCATTTTCTTTCAAACCATCATATCCTCCCAAAAAGCAGACTCTCCATTGGGTTGATATACCCAGAAATATGTCTGTGCTGCCTGTTCTTGTCTTTCTCCCCTGTCCTTCCATTGTAGTAGTAGAACATCTAGGCCTTAATTACAAATTAACTTACAGAAAAAACTACAAAGCCAAGCAGAGGGGGAAGCCTACCTATGTATGATAGAAGTTGACGTGACAGATTTTGTTTTATAAGCATTAGCTGCACATGAGGATATTTGTCAGGAAGGCTGCAGCCATTTCTTCACAGATTTTTTAAAATTCATTCAACAACTATTTGAGTGCCCACTAATGGAAAATGGCATAAAACAAAGTGAAAATTGTGTTCCTGCTGGTCTTATAGTCTATTTGGAAAAATTAATGAAAAGTATGCAGTGTGTCAAATAGTGCAGGAGCAGATGGGATCAAGGTGACTCGTGAGCATGAAAGTTACTTTTACATAGGTAGTTGAGGAAGGCACCCTTAGTAATCTGTGGACAGAAACTTGAAGGAAGTGAAGAACTAAGCCACATGCATTGCTGAGATAAATGTTTCAGAGCAAGAGGAGAATGAGAACAAAGGTTACTAAGATGAGTGGGCACTTGGCATGTTCCAGAAATAGTAGGGAAGTCACTTGTCTAGTAAGAAACAAGTAGGTGGGTAATGAAAGATAAGGAAGGAGAGAACCATAATGAGGGCTATAGATGGAGTTTCTGTTCTGCCTGGTCCCACCACCCTTCAGTCCCAAATAAACACACAGAGGCTTGTATTAGTTACAAGCTGTTGGCTAGCGGCTCAGGCTTCTTACTGGCTAGCTCTCTCCTAATTATTAACACATAACTATTAATCTATGTATTGCTCTGTGGCCTTATCTTACTGAAGAATTCCTGGCATCCTATCTTCCTGGTAGCTACATGGCATCTTTCTAACAGCTCCTCTTTATCTCCACTCCCCAGAACTCTCCTTGTCTGGTAACCCCACCTATACTTCCTGCCTGGCTACTGGCCAATCAGTGTTTTATTCATCAACCAATAAGAGAAACGTAGATACAGAAGGACATCCCCTATCATATCCTCTTTTCTGTCTAAATAAAAAGGAAGGTTTTAACCTTAACATAGTAAAATTATATATAATAAAACAGTTACCAAACAAGAACTGTAGTTAACAATATTTAGTTCATTAATATTTGGCAAAATTTAAAGAAAATATTGTTATCTATGCTATCTTTGTGAATGTAAAGTTTTGTATGTAACTTATCATTTATCATAACTAAGGAAAACCATAACTATCTGTCTTCAACTCCATCAAAGACCTCAGAAGGATAATGTGTAAATTCTAGACTTGACAGAAACTTCTCACTCCCTGTCTGTCTGTACAGACCTCCAGACCTCTATGGTTAGCTAGTGGCAAGGTCCATTCCCTGACCTTCAGACAGGCTTTATTTGTAGAAGCAAGATAACAACACAGAGGGTGAGCTTGGGAGATGGCTCAATGAGGAAAGTACTTGCCTCACAAACATAAACTGAGTTCAAATCCCCAGAACTCACATAAAGCTGAGCGCATGTGTGTGTTTCTGTGGTGAGATGGGAGACAGAGACAGGAAAATCCCTGAAAGTCCCTGGGCCACTTAGCCTGGTTTATGCAGTGACGCATACAAAGAAGAGAAAAGACTCCATTTCATAGTGAAGACTGTCGTGTCAGGGTGGCCCAGTGGTCTAAGGCGCCAGACTCAAGCTTAGCTTCCTCTTCATAGTGAAGACTGACACCTGAGGTTGTCACAGTGGTAGGTGTGAACCCTCACTCATGCATACACACATGTACATACATTGTTGTATACACACACAAACCATATAGAGGACCAAACGATAGAGGACCCAGCCATAGGCAGCTGGCAGAGTTTGGAAATCATGGACATTATCAATCCTGGTATTTGGGAGGACAGAGGCAGGATTGCATATTTGAAGTCGGCCTGGTCTACATAGTGAGTTCCAGAGCTACACAATGAGAGTCTGTTAAGGGAAGCTTTTTATTGAGAGGAGTCTTCCCGCCAGCCTGGTTCTAGAGACGCATCAGTCCCAAATAAGCACACAGGAGGCTATATTAATTATGAAGCTGTTGGCCTTGCTTGTTTCTTACTGGCTAGCTCTGACTTAAGTAATTACCCCATAATTGTTAATCTAAGTATGTCTCTTACCGGAGAGGTTTCTGGGCTTCCTACCCCAATGGCGTTACATCTCGACTCTCCTGTGTTTCTCCTTCCCAGAATCCTCCTGGATTCCTAGCCCCACCTATCTAGATTCCTATTGGCCAGCAGTAATTTATTGACATATACACAGGACTTCCCCAACAAGAGTCTGTATCAAAAATTAAAACAAAAACGTAAAGTCGAAGAACCAGGAGAATGATGTTTCAGAGACTTGAGTGAAAGGTTTGTCTCAAAAAGGAAGTGCTTAACTCTGTTGAATATGAAGCATTAGGGAGATTTTGTTAGTGCCTTCTGCCTCAGTGATTCGAAAGTGTCCGTGGAGAGCGTGGAAGTGTAGACCCTGAATGCATACCATTCTTGCAAAGCAAGGCGTTTTTCTGTAAAGTAATAGAGAGAAGTGAGTGGTGGCTAGAGGAGACCATGAGGAAAGAAGAGTTTTCATGGTTTTCGGGGGCTGCTGCAGCCTGAGGCCTTGGTTATGGCGGGATTCTTTTTTTTTTTTTTTTTTTTTTTGCTTGGTTGTTTTGGTTTTTTGGGGGGGTTGTTTCTGTTTTTTTCGAGACAGACTTTCTCTGTAGCTTTGGAGCCTGTGCTGGAACTTACTCTGTAGAGCAAGCTGGCCTTGAACTCCCAGAAATCCACCTGTCTCTGCCTCCTGAGTGATGGGATTAAAGGCGTATACCACAACTGCCAGGCTGTGACAGGATTCTTTGAAACTTTATTGAGAATGTTTGATTCCCTTGAAACCATGCTGTACCCAGTTACAAGGAAGTTTGTGTAAGAATGGATTAATGACGTCATCGTTTATGAAATCAGGAGTGATGCTAAAGGAAGGAAAGTTTTGGACAGTTTGGTTCAGTGTTCAGAAGCCCTTGCAGGGAGACTGGGTTTGATTCCTAGCATCCACATGGTGTCTTATAACCATCTATAACTCCAGTCCCAAGGGATGTGGTACCCTCTTGTGACTTTCATGAATAGTGGGTACACAGCCATGCATGTGGGCAACCGCTCATACACTTAAAATAATCTTTAAAAATTACAGTATAGCTTTGAGATGCTCAAGTCTTGCACCTGCTCATGGCCATCATTAAGTGGCTCCTAAATCCAGTCAGAATGAATTGTCTGCCAGCATAAGCGTAAGCAAGGGGGTAGAATGTGGAGTCTTGTCTAAGTACTGTTGAAAATGTGGCGTTTAGGACTTGCACCACTTCCTGTGGGTACTACTCTGTCCCCTGAAGAGGTCCTTTGTAATACAACACGCTCCATCAGAACCTCATTCAAGTGCCCTTCTTAAGAAGCCTAAGAATGAGGAGCCTGATCTCTGTTGCCTAAGAGTTGGTGGTCATGATTAGATTCAGACTTAGATTTCAGTATTCAATAAACATTTATTGAGTGTGTTTGCTACTTTAAAAGGAAAGAAGCCTGTGCTAATGAGAATGACCTAAAAAAAAATTTTGACCAAGCCAGCTTCCCATGACTTAGGATGATTTCTGGGGAAAATAAAAACAGCACGTAGATAAGCAAGGGTGTAGGAGAGTCAGGACCTGTGTGCACTCTTGGTGGGCCTATGAAATGATGCGTGTCTGCAAAATAATTTGGAGTTCCTCAGAAAGTTAACACTGCATGACTAGGGTCTGACTCATACTCTTCATCAGCACTGCAAAAAGTAAAACACAGCCATTGTGTGATGCAGCGCCTGACCTCCAGATGTGTAGGATCTTAGAGAGATCCGTGCTCATGGCAGCACTATTGGCCTAGCCTCAGTGGCAGAGGCCACTCATATCCCAGACTGATGAATGGTAAGCATAAAGTTGCATGTACATACAGTGAGAAGTCATTCAGTCTTCAAAAGGATAGACATCCTGACATATATACATTAGCTCACAATTGCACTTTGAAGTGTAATTTCACTTCTGTGAAGTTCCTATAGTGGTTGTGTGCATGTAAACAGAAAGTAGTAGCTACCGCAGACTGATGGAGGCAGGAAAGATGTTTAGCGGCTGAAGCGGCTCAGGTTTGTAAACTGGGAAGGTTCTGGAGATCTGTTTCTAGCAGTGTAAATGGACTTAACACTTGTGAGCTGTCTGTTTGAAACTGGCTACAGTGGTAAGTTTCATGTTGTGAAAGAGAGAAAGATGCAGTGTAGGCATTGTGCTTTAAATGGATAGGAGATCCAGCATGGAGGGGAGGTCTTTGGTATAAAGGATGGGACACATGCAGTTCATCCTTGGGACGGAATAGGAAGGAGAGGTGAGGGTCTAGTATAGGTCAGTTGAGAGTGGTCGTCTGTGGATGCTTGAGAAGTCCTCTTGTAGAGTGGCTTCAGGTCAGTGCAGATTATTGATTGAGAGTAAGGCAGGGGGGGCTGCTGGTGACAGAGGCCCCGGGAAAGAGGGCAAACAGAAACCCAAGGCTGTAGTTGAGTACAGAGGTCACAGCAGGGAGCTGATGCCAGTGAGTGAGTAAAACCACGACCCTCCCCTTTCCTGCACATTCTGTCCTTTCAGTGAGTAAAATCTAGGTTGAGTGGCATACCTCTGAAGGATTTAGAGCAGCCGTTCCTTTGGGGAATGAAAGGTTGTTTCTTTTTCTTTGAACTGACCCAATTTTTGACAGTGCCTAAGTATTGTTAGCTGGACTCTGAGTTTGGGTTAATAAAAAGATGATACCTGTCTAACCCATGGTAGATGGTTGCCAAGGCAAGTTGGCCTCCTACCTTCTTGCCTGCTGACTTCACAAGTGGCATAGACTTTACCATCTGGTCTTCCTGCCATTGCCTCAGAAACGTAGTCTGTGGTCCTTTTGTAGATGGAAAGTCTCATTCTAGACTAAGGTTATTAGGATGTCTTTCTTAACCAAGTCTGCCTTCCGGAGCTTTGACTATAGGATTTGGAACCAAAATAAATGTTTCCTCATAGTAGCTAGTAGTTGTTAATTCATCGAGTATTGTAAGCAACCACAAAGAGATAGAAGCCCTGCCTGACCATCACTGACTCAGACTGTTCTAATGGTTCTCATACGTTAGGCAGTATTCTGCGTGCCTTACAGATACCCAGATACTCCTCTTCTGATGACTCCGTTAGACAGCTTCTGTGGAGTGGATTAATGTTTCATGGAAAGTGGAATCTGCACCGCCCCACGGCTGCTTCCACATATGCCACCTTCCAGTGCTCTTTTGGCCAGAAACTGTCTTCAGTCTCCTGAGAAGTCATCAGAGGCATTGTCAAAAGGGACACCTTTTGTCCTTGAGGAGTTGTTAAATTGCTTTAAGTTATTACTGAAAGTTGGACTATTTTAAAATAAATATAAATCCTGAAGGAACAGTGCAAGTGAAAGAAATAAATAAGAAAAGTTTTAAAACTAAAAAGCCCTTGATGTATAAGTACTGTGTTTACATCACTTCTACCCCTTTCCCTTCCTGTAATTATTGTTACATATGTATGTATGTGTACACACACATACACCCTACTTGAGTCTAGTGTTGTTCTCATATACATGTGTTTAGAACTGATTGTTTGGGATTGGATGACCTATCAGACTTGTCCCTGAGAAAACTGATTCTCCCTCTCTTAACAGCCATTAATTGCCTATAACTCTTCATTTAGAGGTGGGACCTTGTGAGATTTCCCCCATCCTCATTGGCATGTCATCTGGTGATGTTATTATGCAGGTCATGTTTAGGTGACCATATTGTTGAAGTATCCTTAATGCAACTCCCCTGTCGTGTATAGAAGACACTGTCTGAAAGCAGAATCCCTGGTCCTCTGGCTATTACAGTCTTTCTGCCCCTTCTATGACGCTCCCAGCCTTTGTTGTAGGAGTTGTGTTCTATCATTTGGGGCTGAGCATCCCAGTCTGTTCTCGGTATTTTGACCGGTTGTGACTTTCTGTAATGGTCTCCACTACTTCAAAAATGAAGCTTCCTTAATGAGGGTCGCAAGCTGCCCAGATAAGTATTTAGAATGCAGTTAGAAATGATACTGGTTTAGGAAAATGGCAGTCATAGGTTCTCCTCTAGAGTCTATGACTTTACTAGTTATGTGTGGATGACTATGTCTTTACTGTACCAAGCGTGAATTCCTTCCTACTGAGTGAGCACTAAGTCCACCTTTTCTCTTTTTTTTTTTTTTTTTTTTTTTTTTTTTGGTGGGGAGTGGGGGACTCAAGTCAGGGTTTCTCTGTTAAGCCCCTAGTTGGCAGTCCTAGAACTTTCTTTGTAGACCAGGCTAGCCTCCACCTCCAAAGATCTGCCTGCCTCTGCCTCCCAAGTGCTGGGTTTAAAGGTTTGCACCACTATTTAAAGGCATGCATACCTTTAATCCCAGCACTCGGGAGGCAGAGGCAGGCAGATCTATGTGAGTTTGAGGCCAGCCTGGTCTACCAAGACAATTCCAAGACAGCTGGATTGATTACAGCAAAAAGAAATTGATTACAGCAAAAAGAAATAATAAAGGATTGACCTTTTGTGTATCTGTATGTACCTCTCCTTTAGTTGAGTCATGCATTTTAACTCCTGATGTCTCATTGTCCCACAGATACGGAATGTGGAAACTAATCAATGTCTAGATAACATGGCTAGAAAAGAGAATGAAAAGGTTGGAATTTTCAATTGCCATGGTATGGGAGGTAATCAGGTGAGTATTAAGCTTTTATATCTTTAAAGAAAAATAATAAAGAGTATTAGGTGAAGGGTGCTTTCAATCTAATGATTGATATTTAATTTTTTCAGATCTTACTATGTGACCTTGGCCAGCTTACAACTTACAATATAGACTAGGATGGCCTTGAATTCAGGGATCGGCCTGCTTCTTCTAATGATTATTTTAATAAAACATCGTTAAGTGCCCCTGTAACAACTGAGTTAACATTGCTGAGCACAGAATTTATTTTGTTCTTACAAAAAAAAAGACTTCCCTTAACAATACACTCAGCCTACAGAGAACTGTGGTAGCTTTTTACTTTCCTCTGTATAAAATTGGTGTAGCTTTTCTGAGTCTTTCATTCTTACTACTTTAACAATGTACAAGAATTGCCAGGTGTTGCTTTAATCCCAGCACTCGGGAGGCAGAGGCAGGCGGATCTCTGTGAGTTTGAGGCCAGCCTGGTCTACAGAGCGAGTTCCAGGACAGTCAGGGCTACACAGAGAAACCCTGTCTCGAAAAACTGAAGAAGAAAAAAAAAAAGAAATAAAGAATCATGTGTCTTGAAATAGTTGCCGGTTATTTCAGAGTAGCCCAGGGAAAGTTTACACTTGAGTTTTGGTGTTTATCTATGTCTCATTGTTCCTCTGTGTCTGTTGAGCTGATTTCCGTGTCTTCATTGTCTGGTAGCTACGAAATGTAGCGATGTTGGCCTTTGAAATGCTGACTGTTAAAGCTTACATTGGCTCATGCTTCCTTTTCAGGTTTTCTCCTACACTGCCAACAAAGAGATTAGAACAGACGACCTTTGTTTGGACGTTTCCAAACTTAATGGCCCAGTTACCATGCTCAAATGCCACCATCTAAAAGGCAACCAGCTCTGGGAGTATGACCCAGTGGTGAGTTACCCAGTTGTCTATAGATAGAGAAGCTATATAGCATGTCACTGGGCACATTTATATTTTACAGCCAGTGAGGTTAATAGTAACTGATACAGTCATTACAGCCACTAGATATGGTCCAAACATTGTCTTTGTTTCTGGATGTGTGCTACTGCTATTGTGAGTGTGACTGTCCCTTGTCTTGAAGGACATACAATATCTCTGTTTCCTTACGGCAGGTGCCAGTAGCTAGCCATTGTGACACCAACAGATTTTTTAAATGAAAAAGGTCCTTATTTTCAGTTTGTTGGAATACAACAATATGTTAGGCAGTACTGAATTACTTAAGTGGCTTCATTTCTTCATTTTCTTACACAAGTTTCTAGGTATGTAGCTTCAGATGTGGATTAGGGATACACTGATATCCAAGATAACTAATCTCTGCTCTGAAAGAAAGGCGCATGGGTGGTTTTACCATTAGATACATTACTCTTTTTTTCTGGAAAATAAGTTCTTCCTGTTGTCAAGCTGTGTTTATTTCTTGGGAGTTGTAGATTTGTCCTATAGTGAGCCCACAGCTATAAGGAAGGCAGGGAAAGCAAGTACTTGGATATTTGAAAAGTGAACGTTCAATTAGAAATGTAGGAGCCTAGAGATGGTATCGAGTATTCAGAAAGAACTGGTTGTACATGTGAGATGTGAAGTTTTAAAACTTCAAATCACTTTGCAAAGTTTGTTTCCCAGATAAGAAACTAATAATGTCTTAGGCTGGTTTCTCACAGACTCCAGGATAAAGCTAACTGTTGATGTGTTTACTAGGGAGCATCTCTGATTTAATAACTGGGAAAAGGAAAGAGTAGGCAAGCTGCCTTGCTACCCAGTAGCCTGAATGAACTCCAGAGGGAGCTCTGGAGGGGGAGAGCAGCCCATCCATCAAAGCATGACAACCAAGAAAGAGAATAAAGCATGTGTGTCAGCAGCCCACACTAGAAACCTCAAGTCATAAAGTCCTAGATTGCAAAGAAACCCTAGAAATAAAATCCAGGACACTGTTTCATGGGTAGAAATTAATGCTCCTGGTCACACAATGGATAGATGGTGTAAGTTAGATCTCAGACCCAAGATTCTTAATTCTTTTTTTCTTTTTTGTTTTGTTTTGTTTTGTTTTTCGAGACAGGGTTTCTCCGTGGCTTTGGAGCCTGTCCTGGAACTCACTCTGTAGACCAAGCTGGCCTCGAACTCACAGAGATCCACCTGCCTCTGCCTCCCGAGTGCTGGGATTAAAGGCATGCACCACCAACACCCGGCAAGATTCTTAATTCTTGATACAAGATACTTTGTTTAGTACTCTACTGTTTTTTATTAGCTTTGGGTGTTTGTGCATGTTCAGATCTTGTTTGTATCATGTGCTCTATATGACAGTAAGCTCTTTAATTTTTACTACTTGTGCTGTCTCCTGAAATACAATGGAGATTGGACCCTTGTACATTTAGAGATTGGAGTCAGGAAGTAGAGGATCATTTTTCCTATTATGTAGGTGGCCTTTACAATAAGTAATGAAAGCTTTTACCCTTCCCTTGAAAGGTTGAAGGTTGCAGTTAAAAATGTGTCACTTGCCTGCCCAGTGCATAAACCTGGTTGTCTGGAGACTTGTCAGTTTACCTAGGTCCTCTGCTGAGTCCTGTGATGACTGAGTGCAGTATTGGAGCCTTGGAGCTCTACATCTTCTGCCAGCTGCCAGAGCCTGCTCTAGAGCAAGGTTCTTCACCAGGGTCTCCTCTGGGCTTACTAGGAGAGAAAGGAGAGAGATGTGTTTTCAGAAACTGAGATGGAGCCTGGTAGTAGTGGATCACACCTTTAATCCCAGCACTTGGGAGGCAGAGAAGCAGGCGGATCTCTGAGTTTGAAATTAACCTAGTTTACAGAGGGAGTTCCAGAACAGTCAGGGCTACACAGAGAAACCCTGACTTGGGGGGGAAAAAAAAAACAAAGAAAGAAAAGAAATTAGGGTGAAAAACCAACTGCCCAGTCACAATTTTTGTTGTGCTTGGTTTATTCTGCTTTTAGCAGTTATTGACCGTGAGCCGGAAGAGTGCCACCTTTGTGGGGAGTTGTGTGGAATGTTGGATAGGTCCTTCACTCTGCACTGGTTTTTGTCTCAACTGAAACAGAAGGCTCAGGTGGCATGTATGTATGCATGTATGCAGAGCCTGGGCTCTGTGCTGCTAGACTGCCACACTGCAGACAAGGCTGTCCTCAGTCAGTGAGACACAGCACCTGCATGGGAAAAGCCAGCACCATCGGAGCCACAGCTGCACTCAGTCTCATCCAGGTTCAGTTCTCATGCATCTGTGAGGATTGCAGTAGATAACGCTGAGCCTCGGGTCAGTGTGCACTGAGCCTCGGGTCAGTGTGGGGTACAGCTACCGTGCACAATAGTTATTTGTAGTATACAATGTACAGTTATTGGCCAGTTCTCACTTTGACCCACCACGAAGTAATACAGAACCAGAAGCAGAAGTGAATGATACAATCATCAGTTTCTGCTATAGTTGAATTTAAAAGAGGCTTTGTGAACATTAGATGTTTCAGATGCTAGAACATTGGCTCAGTGGTTAAGAGCACTGGCTGCTCTAACAGAAGACCCAGTTCAATTCCCAGCACCCACATGGTCGTTCACAACTGTCTGTAACTCCAGTTCTAGGGGATCCGATTCCCTCTTCTGACCTCCAATGGCATGCACACAGGCGAAACACCCATACACATAAAGTAAAATAAAAATGTGTTGTGTTTTTTGAGACAGGGCTTCTCTGTGTAGCCCAGGCTATGCTAGAACTCACTCTGTAGACCAGACTGGCCTTAAACTCACAGAGATCTGGCTGCCTCTTCCTCCTGAGTGCTGGGATTAAAGGCATGGGCCACTACCATGTGGCAAAATATAAAATTTTTTAGTGAAATCTAGCAGAGAAAAGGATCACATTGAAGTCAAGACATGAGTAAAGAATAAATTAATGTGTGTCATTAACGTTGCAGCTACGTGATCCATTACACTGTCACTCAGCATGCACCCACTCTAGGACACTGGCGATTGTTGGTCTGGAACACATTCTCAGGTTCATTGTGGACCATTATGACTATTAATTTACTCTTATTGTCCCACTCTTTAGAAATTACACTAAAAATCAGCATGAAAGTATCAAATCTAAAACATAAGCATGGAGGTCGACAGCTATAACCCTCTCTGATTACTTAGAGCCTCCTTTGCATGTGAGGCAACACATACTTTAACTGTTGTTACTGCCTTACAGAACCGTCTCAAAATATGCATTATATTGTGATATTTATCTTCAGAGTGAAAAACACAAGCTGTCTGGGCTGTGAGCCCAGTCTTCTCGGTGCTCTTGTGTGTGACAAGGAGAACTTCTGGACCTGATGTCTGCTTTACGCCTGATTGTGCTGTGTCTCAGCCACCCCAGCATTCTCAAAGTTTGAGCCTGTAGAAGAACCCAAGTTTCTGAAATCTTACAGTTTAGAATCACAGAATTAAACAGCCTTATCACAGAGAAAGGAAAGGAAAATCGAAATACTTGTTTGGAAATATGTTCCAGGAGCCTAAATAGTAGTCACTAACTTGGCCTGGGTTTTTCTTTTTACAGAGGGAGGGAGAGAGAGCCTGTCTGTCTTTCTGTCTGGTTATTTGCTGTCGAGGCCCATAAAAGTGGCTCAGTTTCATATTGACCTAAGGTCAGAGTTCAAATCTATCCATGCTCTTTCAAGGCTAAAGGCCTAGGACTTAAAAGGTCTAAGGTGTGGCTACTGAAGGATGTTTGGGCTAAGGTGTGGTCACTGAATGTCTTGCCTAGATAACAGAATACTTAATCTAATGCCAGATAACAAGAGGTTTGATCTAAGATGTAGTTACTAGATATTTTGAGAATTAAGGAAGTCCTTTTGCCTATCCCCCAACCCCTTTTGGTTGGGTTGTATAAGAACTTTGAGCACTAAACTTGGGGCAGATACCAGTATTCACTGGATGCAGTCCCGACTCTTATCTTCTGTCTCTTGTCTATTTCTTTGCTCAATCCATACTTGCACATTTAAATAGGTCACCAGGTCCCAACTCTGTGTGTGTGTGTGTGTGTGTGTGTGTGTGTGTGTGTGTGTGTGTGTGTGTGTGTGTGTGTGTGTGTGTGTGTGTGTGTGTTGGTGCACAATTTTAATTCCAGCACTTGGGAGGCAGACGCAGGAGGATCTCTGGGAGTTCAAAACTGGTCAGCATAGTATAATGCTATCTCAGGGTTGGGGTGGGGTGCCTTTTCCTCCACTTTCTAGTTAAGGTGTGTTTCCCCTGCTACTTTCAGAAATTAACCCTGCAGCATGTGAACAGTAACCAGTGCCTGGATAAAGCCACAGAAGAGGACAGCCAAGTGCCCAGCATTAGAGACTGCACTGGAAGCAGGTCCCAGCAGTGGCTTCTTCGAAATGTCACCCTTCCAGAAATATTCTGAGACCAAATTTGCAACAACAACGAAAGAAAGGAAAATAAGGATTGACTGGGCTACCTCAGCATACATTTCTGCCACATTCTTAAGTAGCAAAGAAGGAAAAGTGTTTTCCTCTCCTGTGGGATGTAAGGTTTATCAGCCATCAAAACTCAGACTCCTTTAGCTTTTCACTTGCTGTGAACCAGCCTTCCTGTCCCAGGACATGAGACTGCAAAGTAGTGAGACTGTGGCACACTGATGTTTACAGGGCTGGAAGAGTCCTCACCGAGAACAGTGGCGAATAGCCTTCAGGTCCCCAGCAGGCGGAATGTGCTCTCTGACAGAGGCCCCTCCACAGCTTCTGTGCACGCCAGCGTTTCTGCTGAGTGTGCCTCCTGTAGAAGAGGCTCCTGATAGAACCAGTAGCTGCAATATTAACCTGATAGGAAAGTAAGTGGAAAGAACTGGACCAGGTTCAGCATCATGAAAACATTTTTACAATAAAATTATATCAAACAGGGTTCAAAGGAAATTAAAACAGAATTATGAGAAGTACAATTTGTTATAGTATCAGATTTCTATATAGATTTTATACCTCAGTGGGGAAAAATTGATTCTAGTGACATTCATTTTGTTTTCATCTGTGATAGTCATGGATGCTTTTATTTTCCTTGGGGTGCTGAAAATGAGATGGAGTGGAGCTCTGAACACAGTTTTGATTTCTTTTTACAATATTCTTATTTGGTTTGTGGGCTGTTGGAATTGTAAGTTTTAATTGCCTTCTTGTAAAACAAGTGGAGATTTAACATGCCTGCTCTCAACTGAAAAGTTAAGAGATGTCTCAGTTGCTCTTGGGTCAAGGCTCACAGACTCTCTCCTACCCCGTCCCCCACCTCCTCAGTTTCTTACCACATTTTCAACTTTTTAACTTGATTCAACTGTTTATGCTTACTACCCAAGACTCATGCTACTGTACTGCAGACTTGTGTTCCCAGCAATAACGCCTCGGTTCCCAGGGAGTCGTCAAACACAGGCTTACAAAGACTGCTCGTTTATTCGGGGGTTTGGAGATCGTATCTGATGGACTATTTTGAAAGCCTTTTTCACTCCACACATAGATGTGCTTCACTGTCAGGAGCACATTTAGATTAGGTTTGAGTTGTGATGTTGGTTTGCTGCTTTTTTAAAAAAAAATAAAATTGACTGAAAATAATTAATTGGCATTTTTTAATGAGTTAGCCAAAGAAGTGCAGCTATGAGTTCATATTACAGTCCTGCATTTCATCCCTAACTCCATTTTGTTAACTCATTTCTTTAATCTGGTTTTTAGTGACAGAATCAAGTATTAAAGTTGATGATAATTAAAGTTTACTTTTTGATCTCACAGAAATCTCATTGTGACATTTTTCTATAGCAACCCACTGTCCAAAATGTAGACACTCTGTTTCCTATTTGTCCGGTTATATTAATGGTATTCTCTGCTCTGACTATCAGAGACTCACTGCAGGGAGTGCTCTTTGTTTGCTTAAGAATGTTCCTGGAAGTCATATCACCAGTGACATTTGCCCAGTTGAGTATATACCATTTCTCATCATCCAGTCAGCATTGAACCTGTGGATGCTTGGGGTAAGACTGTCCTCCAGGATGCAGAGACTTCCCAGAAAATCTGAAACAAAAAGCCAGTATTGGCTGGAAGTTTTTCTTCTCTGTGAGCTGTGTTAATTCTATCTCCAGTGGGCCCAATGTTTGAAAAGTCAGATGTCTAATAAATTATTTTCATGCTCAGAATTACAATTTTTGTACCCTAGCATAGCATGATCTTATTCCTTATTGTAAAATTTTAACAGCATTGTGATTTAATATTTTGTCTCACTTTTTAAGTGGGGGTGTGAGTGACTTAACTCATGGGTACTTTTAGAACCTGGTAGATATTCACATTGCCTTTATTTTTCTAATTAAAATATTCCTAAATACATTGAAAACATAAAGTATTCCTGAGTAGTTGTGCCTTACTTGAAGAGACCTTGAAGAGAATGTGGATCCTTCATCATAGCTGTTTGTGTATTAGGCGGATACTCATCTCTGTTGGAACCAAATTGAGAAGAAAAGGAATGAAAAGAAATTGAAGGATGAGAACCAGCTTATTTTGACCAGTGAAGTATTCAGAAGTATATAACAAGTAAAGATCTGGTGGGTTTTTAAGACAAGGCATCACTCGGTAGCCCAGACTAGCCTCAGACTCACAGCAATCCTCCTGCCTCAACCTCAATCCAAGTACTGGGATTAAAGACATAAACCACCAAACCTGGCTAAGATAATTTGAATCTCACAAATTTTTTCACTCCATGTCAATTGCAGTTTGTTTGAATGTTTCTCAGTCCTAATTGGTAGCTTGACAAATCTGTTTGTTCACTGTCCTTCCAGTCAAGGATATCATGTAGGCCATGTCTTCCCTGTTCTTGTTCTCTGTAACGACTTGGTGCTTCTCTCATCTTCCAAGAAGTACTCCAAAGTATACTTTCTTTAAACAAGAAAGATGTTGAGAAGGCACTGTTTCAAAAGTGCTGGCCAGAGCAGGTATGCAAAAGAAAATTGCCTTACTCCTTTTGAATGTTAGATCCATTTGCAAGTCTTCTTATTCTCTGATTTTCTGGGTTTAAGGAGCATTTTGCTTGGTAAATTTATAAGAATTGTTCATTCAGAGTATGAGGCTGATATGCAAGGCTGTAACAGTATGTGTATACATTAAGGTAATTCTGAATTTGAGATATGCACTTATAGTATCTTTAAAGAGGTCAGATGTCAGAGGCTGGAGAGATGGCCCAGTGGTTAAGAACACTGTCCCCAGCACCTATATAGCAGCTCACAACTGTGTGTAGCTCCAAGATCTGGCACCCTCACACAGATATACAAGCAGGCAAAACACTATGCCCATAAAATACTATGTGTAAGAGGTCAGATGTCTAAGAAGAAAATTACCTACCTCTACCTTGGAAACTACAGAGCTATGCTGAGGAAAGCTAGAGTGGGGCAGTGAAGAGACCTTACTCATTGAAAGGGTCCATAACGCTGAGGTGGCAGTTTCCCACAAACCGGTCTGTAGATTCAGAGTAAAAAGTCAGAAGACCGCGCGCGCGCGTGTGTAATGCAGTAAATACAGAATAGCAAAGATAATGTTCAGGAGGAAAAATAAAATGGAGGCCTTCCGTTTCCCATCAAGGTTTGCTCTGAAGTTCTGTATACAAGTGTGGAGTAGAATAGGATAAACAGATGATAGACTACACATTTATGGATGGGTTTGTAGTAAAAACTGCAAGCAGTTAATTCAGGAAAGACAATTTTCCTGTTGGAACTGAAGTGGTGACGTTTTGTTTTTCATTGGTTTTGTTGTTGAGACCAGGCTTCTTTGTGTCTGTCCTGGAACTAGCTCTGTAGGCCAGGCCTGCCTTGAATTCTGGGATTAAAGTGTGTGCCCGGCTTGTTTGTTTTGGGACATGATCTTACTATGTATCCCTGGCTGGCCTGGAACTCATCCAGGGGTTTTTCACAGTTTCAGTAAAAGGTGGATGCTGCCATTCCTGGGATGGGATTTGTGTTGTTTTGCTTTTGAGGGAACGAAGGATACCTCTCTTGTGCCTTAGAGAAGGTGCGATCTCACAGACCCTGGCCTCTTCCATTGCAGCCTGTCTAGCTGACTGTCTTGTTGCCTCTAGGCTCCCTGCAGTCTGTAATTGGTTTCTTTGCTGTGGTGAATCTTCATTTCTTCCGTTGTGTCTTGCTTGACACACCTGAATCTAACTTCCCCATTCAGGGCTCTCATTAATGACTTGGCTTCTGGCCACTGTGAGCAGACCATTAAGACCAAATCAGAAACCTTAACCACAGGAATCCCAAATTGATCTGCAGATTCAGTGCAGACCCTATTAGAATGTCCCTAGTGACATTTTTTCTTCTTCAGAAATTGACAAGTGAATCCTAAAATTGTTAGGGAAACTCATAGGATCCAGGGTACTAAAAGGATAATTAGCTGAACAGAATAGACAGTCCAGAAAATATATAGTGTAATCAGTTGATTTTCAAGAGTACCAAGACAATGTAATGCAATCCTGTTTTTATGCTTTCTAGTTAGTAGACAGCTAAGTAAGAAGTAATCCTATATCATACCATTAAAAAACAAAAAGTATAAGAACTAAATCTGTGGAAATCTTTTGAGACAGGATCCAAGGAAGCTAAGGCTGGCCATGAATTTTCTCTGTGGTACAGGATGGTGGTGACCTTAGATGCCTGATCCTCCTGCCTGACTTCTGTATGCTGGGATTACAGTATGCATCATCATGCCAGGCTTACGAAGTCCTGGGGGTTAAATTTAGAGCTTGATGCATGGAAGGAAAACACTACCAACCAAGCTCTGTAAGAATAATTCCTAAAAGAAAGCAATTAGGCAACAGTTCTTTGGTATAAAACTAAAGCACCAGCAAAAGTTGTGGGATTTTCTTATTTTGTTTGGTTTTCAAGAAAAGATAAATTGAACTCTATAAAAAACGTACAAGTTGTGTCTCTAAGGACACCATCAGGAGTATATGTAACTGGGAGTAGAGTCCTTAATACTCTCCAAAGGACCCAGGTTTGATTCCCAGCACCCACATAGTGACTTAGAACAACCACAACTCCAGTTCCAGGGAATCCTTGACCACCAGGTATACACATGGTGCACAAACAAACACACATGGCCAAAACTCCCTAACATACAAAATAAATAAGTTAAAAAATATTTTTAAAGATACTTTACATTATTAGTAGGCAGTGTTAGAAATAGAGAATCAGGTTTAGTAGGAGCTGGAGAGATGGGTCCATGGTTAAGAGTGTGTGCTGCTCTTTGAGAAGACATGGCAGCTCACAACTCTTGAGTACTGCGTGCTAACTCAACTACAGACATGGGACTTCTGCTATATAGTACCGCACTGCTGATGGAAAAGATAAATAAATGCAGACGTGTTCATAAACTGGAAGGTACAACAGCAAAGTCTCGTGTGACTTCTGTAGGCCTCACAAAGTTCCTGTAGATAGAGGCACTGGCTTAGCAAAACACTTGCTGCTCATCCAGAGAACCCAACTTGAGTTCCCAGCATCCATATCAGGCAGCCCACAACTACAATAACTCCAGTTCTAAGGGATCCAGTGCCCTCTTCTGGCCTTACTGGGCACATATAAGTAAAAAAATCTTATAAACCTTTTTCTTATACAATTATTCTATGATTTAGTGGGAAGGAAAAGGATAAGACTTTTTTAATAAAATGGGGTGGGACTAGGGAGTTGGCTCAACTGTTATGAGCACTTGCTCCTCTTCAAGAGGACCCAAGTTCAATTCCCAGCACTCAGTATCTCACAAATGTCTGTAACTCCAGTTCCAGGGAATCTTGACTCCCTTTTCTGACCACTGTAGGCACCAGGCACGCATATGTTGCACAGACATACATGCAAGCAAAACGTACAGATAAAATGTGAGAACTCTGCCTCATCTTGAAATTTACCATCCACTTAGTGGGGGAAAGGACAGTGTCTTCAAGGACCTTTGTCCTATGTCATAAGTATATGTTAAAGTTCTAAATGTAAGACCTGAAATGTAAGTGGCCTTCAGGAATGCATAGGGAACACATTGGGTGACTTTGGTCAATGATTTTTAAGATAGAACAGCAAGCTAGATAAAAGAGATTTCTTCAGTTGTAAAATTGCATGGAAAGAGAGGTAGGTACCTGTTGGCACAGGCACTAATCCCGGCACTCTGGAGGCAGACTGAGAACCTGTGAGTTCAAAACCAGTTGGTCTACACAGTGATTTCCAGGGCTACATAGTGAGACCCTGTCTTTTAAAAAGAAATTAACATTCAGATTTTTAAGATTTATTTTCAATTATGTGTAGAGGTGTAGTCTGTGTGCGGGTATGTACATGTGAATGGAGAGGGCAAAGGCATCAAATCATTTGGAGCTGACGTTAACAGATGGCTGTGAGCTGCCTCATGTGGGTCCTGGGAACCAAACTTGGGTTTCTGGAAGAAACAGCAAATGTTCCTGACCACTGAGCCATCTCTTCAACACCAACACTCACATTTTAATATGGTTGAGCTAGCTGCTTCCAATTATTTCCATCAGCAGTCATAACTAGATTATGCAGGTTTAAAGTAGTTTGGCAGGGAAGAAAAAACCTTAAAATTAGCTTAACTAAAAAAATTAAACCTTAGACCTGTAATAACAAGGATGTATTGGAACCTCTGTAAGCCCACAACTAAGTTGAACAGTGGCCACGTCTAGCAGGTGACAAGTTCTACTATCCTTGATGTCGAGGGGGATAAAAGGGAAGGCTGGCTGCAGAGGGTGGACCCCACCC